TCAGCGCCGGATCGGCAGTGGTGATGTCGACGGTGCTGCTGAGGGTGGTTCCGCAGGACGCCCGGTTTTTCTGGGTGTATTTTGCGGTGCTGGTGGTGATGGGGTTTATGATCTCGTGGAACGACGCGGCATCGAACAAGTGAGTGCAGAGTACAAGTCAATAGTGCTTCATATACGAAAGGCATATGAAAGGTTGTCATGAGCCAGGATGGGGTAGTACTGAGATGGGTGAAAGACAATGCATCATTCCTTTCTCAGTGTTACCCTTCCCCTTAGCCATCGTCGCTCTCTCCCTCTTCCTCGGACCTCCCTTCTCCGCCAACGCGCCTTCCTCTTGTTGACTTTGGAGTCGACTCAAAAGTCAACTCTTCCTCCGACCTCCCTTCTCCGTCAACGCGCCTTCCTCTTGTTGACTTTGGAGTCGACTCAAAAGTCAACTCTTCCTCCGACCTCCCTTCTCCGCCAACGTGCCTTCCTCTTGTTGACTTTGGAGTCGACTCAAAAGTCAACTCTTCCTCCGACCTCCCTTCTCCGCCAACGCTCCTTCCTCTTGTTCCCCTTTGCAGGCCTAGATGCATACAAAGTTTTCCTCTTGTCCCCATTTGCACTCACCCTCCCACATGCACCCACTCCCTCCCCCTCCTCCACAACCTCCACCAACCCTCCCTCCCACTCGTCCGCAGTCCCATATTCGCGGCCATAGTGCCGGCGCGCCTGCGAACAGACATCTACGCTCTCGACCGCGCGTGTGAGATGTCACTGGCTGCCTTCCAACCAACTCCAAGTCACTCCCCAACTCCCCCGTCCCCTCTAAACACCCACCTACAGCCCCATATTCGCGGCCATAGTGCCGGCGCGCCTGCGAACAGACATCTACGCACTGGACCGTGCATGTGAGATGTCTGTGGCAGCCTTCGCCCCGCCCACTGTCGGCTTCCTCGCCCAGGCCTGCTTCGGCTTCCACCCCTCCTCCCCGTCCCCCACCCCACCTGCCGCCGCTCCTGCCCCTTCCCCTCCTGCTTCCCCTGCCACTCCTCCTCTTGCTCCGCCCGCTCCATCTGCTGCTGATCCGGGGAACGCTAGAGCGCTCTCTCTAGGGCTGTTCTGGACCATGGCTCTGCCCTTTGCTGTCTGCTGTGTCCTCTACGGGGGGCTCTACTGGACGTACCCTCACGACCGGGACAAGGCCCGGGCCGAGGCTGCGGAAGAGGCTCGGAAAGGGGAGCAGCAACAGTATGAGAGGGTCAGGGTAGTGTCTTGAGGACTGAAGCCCCCTGCCACTCGCTCTGCTGCCCTCCTGTTGCCCTCTCTGCTGCTGTGCCTGCAACTTTCTCCGCTGAACGTAGGGTGCACTGTGCACAGCACACCATAGCAGCCGCAACAACCATTGCACCTTCACCACCTATCAGGCACTGATATTGTTGTTGCAGATGCTGTAGTTGTTATGATTACGAGAGATGCAAGGTACAACGGTTGTTACAGCTGCTATGGTTGTTACCACTGTGAGAAGTGAAGGTGCCTGAGGCACACGCCTTGGCTGATAGCCCGTGCCACAGCACTGCGCCTTGGTAATTCCAAACCTCGGCAACAGCACCCCAACGTATGGTGCCTTACCGTTACAATCGTTTTTGGTACCGGCATTCAATGATTGCTCTGCATTCGCTCGCACCTTTATCTCTTGAGCTCTTGACAACACAGCATCTCGCCTCTGTCTCCCTGCACCAGCCCCTGATTTCCATGCAGAGGCTGAGAGGCCTTTGATTCCTTAACGCTTGAGCCCGGAATGCTCTGCAAGCGAGCCATGCACTAATCCTGAACTGTGCGGCACTAATTCTGAATTGTTTTATGGCAACAGAAAAAGTTTTGACGAATATGGCATACGTTGATTTGCCGGGTTGCTGACGAGTTCAGACACGGAACACGATTTAAGATGTTGGCAAGAATTTCAATAAATAGAATGTTCTATAATTACCAAGGTCAATGGCACGACTGTATTGTGGTTTCTTCTGCACTGTTGAGCAGCGACTGCTAATGGGGTTCGGAGAAAGCAGAAGGCGGGGAGAAGGGATGGACGAAAGAAAGAGGATGAAAGGGGACAGGGGCGGCGGAAACTCTCTTACAGACCTGAAGCCTGCGAATCGAAGAAAACCGGACACATAAAGAAGCAACCTGAATTGTCATCTGGTGAAGCCCAGAACCTTCAAACGGTCGCAGCAGCTCCATCCAGGTCATCCGAAATGGTTGGAATAGAAAAACTCTCCTGAGTAACAACCTGCGGTTTCAGTTCGCTGAACCCATGTGGTCGCGCCTCGTAACAAATCCTGACACCTGAAAGCAAACCGCGAAGCAGATCTAGCGGGACTGGGGACCGCCTAGGTTTTGGTGGTGGGTGGGTACGTGAAGTACAAACAGCTAAGGGCAACATCACTAGAAATCAAGTAGTCAGCACAGCAATCCCAATTCCATCCCAGAGCATTCCAACACATATTTACGCACCAACTCACTAGAAGTACTACGATTTTGTTGCTCCATACAGACATTGACCTCAAACCATGACGCGTTTACTTTTCGTCGCAACATTCGCCGTGCTGCTGGCGGTGGCGTCCGCAGGACAAACCGTCGTGACTGGACCCAACAACCCTGCGGTCAACCTGGACAAGGCCAAGGGCGAGAATGGCGTGGCAACCGAGGTCCCTCCTGGCATCGAGAAGGCGGCGGCCGCCGGCGGGCTGGACAAGTTCGAGGGGACGACGATCGTGAGCCCGAGCACAGACAGTATTCTGATGGTGGACGTGAAGGTTGCGGGATGGAACAAAATGAAGTGCCACAAGGACCTGGGCAAGCCCGGGGAGGGCGCGTGCACGCCCGCCAACTGCAGCAAGGGCGGCATCGCTGCCAAGTGGAAGACGTCGAACCTGCTCAAGAACAAGCTGGGCGTGGAGGTGTACGTGAAGGGCAACCCGCTGACGCTGAAGAAGGCGTCCCCGCAGACGTGCTGCAACACGTGCGCGGGGTACAGCAGCTGCACGTACTGGCAGTACATCCCCGACATCACGATCGACGGCAAGAAGACGGACGGCGCGTGCTACCTGGTGCACGACAACATCGACTACTCGTGCGGCGACATGACGGCGCAGTACGCCACCGACTCGAAGCCGGTTCATCTGCAGGTGCGCACGGGCGGCGAGTGCAACCCCGCGGCGAACGTGGTGAACGACCCGCATCTGGTGGGCGCGTACGGCACGCACTTCGACTTCAACGGGCGCCCCGATAAGGCTTTCTGCCTGCTGACGGACAAGGACCTGCACGTGAACATGCTGCTGCGCGGGTACTACTCGGACGACACGGAGAACGCGGCGCTCGTTGTGGACGGCAAGGCCGTACACACGTGGATCAAGGAGCTCGGCATCATCTGGTTCGCCAAGGGTGTCGACCACAAGGTGCGGCTCGCGGCGCGCTCTGGCAAGCAGCAGGAGCGTGGTGACGGGTTCATGAAGACGATCGAGATCGACAGCGAGGAGATCCCGAGGATGCACGTGGGCGACGAGGTGACGACCGAGGGCGGTCTGACTCTGCGGTTCGCGGCGCTGGAGAAGGAGGGCCCGTATGACGTGGACTACTACACGCTGGCGATCGACGGGCTCGTGGCGCTCGACCTGCGCCTGCGCGTGGCCAACCCCAAGCTGCAGACGCCCAGCGAGGCCGAGGCGCACATCAACGTGGGGATTGTGGAGCTGGAGCACACCGACGACGTGCACGGCGTGCTCGGCCAAACGTACCGCCCCGACCACGCCGCTCGCGCCGCCGACTTCCAGCGCCTGATCGCGAACCTGCACCGTCCGATCTCGGCTGACAGCCAGGAGGGCGCTGGGTTCCTTGACGGCACTCCCCGGCTGTACGAGTCGAGCTCCGTGCTGTCCGTGGACTGCGCGCAAACGGAGTACCACCGCGCCAAGCAGCTCAGCCCCGTCGAGGACTTCCCCATGGAGCCCCTCAACTAAACACACTCGCTCCGTCGTGTACGGTGGGCTGATTCAGTGGGTTCTGTAGGTGGGCTGATTTGTGCACACAAATGTGTGCTCTGTATTGTAGGTTGGCTGACTCTCGCCATGTAAATGTAGGCTAAATTCTTTTAATCTTGAAAACCGTCACAGTATACGTAATCCTCCGTCGTTGATGCATACTTAAAGCAAGGGTGCACTTTTGGGGGGGTTGGAGGCAAAAGTTTATCACTTGCCTCCACGTGGTTACCCTGTTTGTATTGACAGTCCGAGCAAACCACACTTCAGTGTTAGCGGACGTGCGCGGATTTTCTCTCCCCCCGTCGTCGATTGTGACGGGCCAACTCGGAGTTGGGAACTTGATCACAACCAGGCAGTTTGTGAACCATAACGCGCTTGACTCTTGTACCACCACGGCATACAAATTGCAAGCAAGTAACAGCTAGCAACCACAACTCTACCGCATCGCCAACATCAGAGCATTAGTACAGTGACGCCGTCGCCAAAAGTGTGCCTTAGGGTTACGGCCATCAAACGCGCCCACCCTGTGTTTATCTCGCCCGCTATAGCGAGGTTGTCTTTTCAGGCGCTGTGAAAATACGATTGAATATAATAGCGACGATAGGAAATTGATCAATGGAGCAGCATAATTGGCTCGATGGTGATGGCGACTCGCATGGCGACTCGACTGGACGACAGCTCCCAGTTGAGTAGCACTCGATCAGATCCCATCGATGTCTTTACAGCTCAGCAAGAGCAGCGATTTGACGAGGAGGAGGAAGCCGTTCGGCTCCTCTCGCGATTTGAGGGGAGCCTAAACGCGGCTGCTCATTGCAGCCGTTGAAACAGCTGTCACCGCTTTGCTGGCACCAGACGTGCGCGCTGTAGCGTCGACTCGACAGTAGAAGCGGACCGTGCGAGCAGCGCAATAGACGGAATCGGAGATGAAGGGCTCTTCCAGGCGTGAGAGACGCCGCTGCGACAGAAGCGAAGGCACCGATGGATGTCGCCTCTCCGCGTGCTGTGCGTGCTGTTATCAGACCACCTCGTGGCCCTCTCGTAGTTGCTTCTGCTTCGTCCGTACGAAGAATAGACCGTTTCCTGTTTCTCTCTTCCCTCCTCCTCCCCTTCTTCTCTCACACTCACCTTTCTTTGCTCTTCATCGTTTTCTCTGCCAGCTCCTTCCATTCGTACGACGATAGACCCTTCCCTTCCCGTTTCTGCCTCCTCCCTTCCTTTTTTCCCTTTCTCTCGTTTTCTCCGCCGTCTCTCTGCCGCTTCGCTGCTTCTGCTCCGTCCCTACGACAATAGTCCCCTCCCTTTCTTATTTTCCCTCCTCTCATTTTCCCTCTCTCGCTCTCGCCCTCGCTTTTCCTGTTACCTCCCTTGCTCCCTCTTCTCCCCCATCTCTCCCTAAGCTGTTTCATCTTGCTCCCCTTGTACCACACCAGTCCCCTTGTTCTTCCTGCCTCTCTCCCGTCTTCTCTCCTTCGTCCTCTCTCTTCCCTTTCCTCTCCTGATCACCGCCTCGCCTCCGCATCACATTCCCGTTCCTCACCCCTCCCTGCTCCCTTCACTTTTTCTTCCCTCCCCCTCCCCTCCCCCCTCTTCCCTCCAGGGGCGGCGCCAGTACTTCCCCTTTCCGCCCGCCACGCCCTGCTCGACCCGCTCTTCCTCTCCGCGCCACTCCCCTCGCTAGACGCCGCCCTCCCCCTCCTCTCGCTCCCCCCCTCCATTTCCGCCTACACTGCGTACCGTCAAATTTCCTCTCTTCTTCTCTTATGGAAAATTCTTATGAGGTCTCCTAACATAGGCCCCTCCCTACCTCCCTCCCTACCTCCCTACCTCCCTCCCTCCCTCCCTCCCTACCTCCCTCCCTCCCTCCCTCCCTCCCTCCCTTCCTCCCTTCCTCCCTCCCTCCCTCCCTCCCTCCCTCCCTCCCTCCCTCCCTCCCTCCCTCCCTCCCTCCCTCCCTCCCTCCCTCCCTCCCTCCCTCCCTCCCTCCCTCCCTCCCTACCTCCCTCCCTCCCTCCCTCCCTCCCTCCTCCCTCCCTCCCTCCCTCCCTCCCTCCCTCCCTCCCTCCCTCCCTCCCTCCCTCCCTCCCTCCCTCCCTCCCTCCCTCCCTCCCTACCTCCCTCCCTCCCTCCCTCCCTCCCTTCCTCCCTCCCTCCCTCCCTCCCTCCCTCCCTCCCTCCCTCCCTCCCTCCCTCCCTCCCTCCCTCCCTCCCTCCCTCCCTCCCTCCCTCCCTCCCTCCCTCCCTCCCTCCCTCCCTCCTCCCTCCCACCCCCACCTCTTATCCGTTTAGGCTGCTCCTCATCGCCATCTTCTGGCTTGCCTGACGAGGAGACTGCCAAAGAAGCCGTCAGGCCAGGAGGCTTAGAGGGCCCGCCTGCAGCTTCTCCTCCTCACACGTGTCCAAACGTTACTGGAGCAGGGAGCATGCAGTCAGGGGGCGTTCACAGATTCTTGGTCCATCAGCCACATCAGCAGCAGGGTGGAGAGGAGAGTACAGCGTGGAAAGAGTGGTGTCCCAGTTGGCATCGGTGACAGATAGGGCGTCGTCGCATGCTCCTTCTGCCCTGCATGCTCCGTACGTGTGCTCCCTGTCGTACCCACTTCGTCACTGCCCCGCGTGCTCTGTCAGTGTGCTTCCTCACTTGCTCACGTAGCCCCTCTCTCGCTCCATTGGTACTGTGTTCCCCGAGTCTGCGACCCCTTTCGACCTTCCCTCTTCCCGCTTCTGAGTCATCCCCGTCTCTGGTCAGTCTTGAGCCTCCTTGCCCAACCAATCACTGGATCTCGTCCCTCATCTGCCAATCTCTCACCACCACTGCCACCACCACTTACACCCTTTTTCCCCGTTTCCCCTCTCTGCCTTAATCCCTTTGCCTCTTTTCCCCTCTCTGCCTCCTTCCCCCTTTCCTCCTTACAAACTCCACCTGAGAGGACCCCTCCCCACGCGCCACAGGGGATTTCTCGTCAGCCAACACAGTGCATATCTCGCTCAAACAGTGCACGCCCCTCGCCATCGCAGAGCTTCTCCCATCGCCCTCACCCCCCTCTCTCCTTACCTTCGGATGCGCCTCTCCACTCGCTGTCGCAGCTTCTCTTGTCGCCATCGCTGCGCCGCCTCTCCCCTCGCCGTCACAGCGCCCTTCCCGTCACTCTCGCCACGCCTCTTCCCTCGCCTCTCATCTCCTCTCCCCACGCCGTCACAGTGTCTCTCCCCCTTTCCGCCGCAGTGCCTATTCCGGGGGTGTAACATCACCTCCCTTCCTTGTCCTCTCTCGTCTCTGCCCTATCCTATGCCCCCTCTCTACCCTGTCCCATCCCCTCATTCCACCCTGTCCCATCCCCTCATTCCGCCCTATTCCATCCCCTCATTCCGCCCTGACCTATCCCCTCACTTCGCCCTGTCCCATCTTCTCACTCCGCCCTGTCCCATCCCCTCACTCCGCCCTGCCCCATCCCCTCACTCCGCCCTGCCCCATCCCCTCTCTCCGCCCTGTCCCATCCCCTCACTCCGCCCTGCCCCATCCCCTCACTCCGCCCTGCCCCATCCCCTCACTCCGCCCTGCCCCATCCCCTCACTCCGCCCTGCCCCATCTCCTCACCATCCTAGACGAGCAAGGCGCAAGGCTCAGACAAACTGCATGGACGTGCGTGCCGCCTCACCTTGCATCTGCTTTCATCACCTCAAAGGTGCAGATGAGCTACATCACGTAAAGGGACCGCCAGCAGATTCAAACGGAGCAAAGGCTCGAGCTTGTTTCTTGATACTGCATGCTTTTATAATGTGTATTTACATCTCATACAATGGTTCTAAAAGGTTCACATCTTGTCGCCTGACTTGGACATGGTTCTAAAAGGGCTACACACAATACTAAGAGGCTGTCATGACAGCAGCATTAACCTAAACTTGAGTACAGTATCAATGTGTTGTAATATGCCGTCGGATGGCACGAGGGCACACAGTAGCCTAAAATAAAATCATATCGTACTTTGTTGCTCCATGCTGCAAAGAAAAGCTCACAAGGGAGAAGGGCGGGGGGGCGGGAGAAACAGGGACAAGCAGCACGGAAACTGAGTGGGCACGCAGGTGGGAAAGGGAGAGCAGGGGGGGGGGGGGGGGGGAGGGGAGGGGGAGGGAACGAGGGGAAGGAGGTGGGGGAATGGGGGGAAGCAGGGGGGGAAAGAGGGGAAGCATTGTGGGAAATGAAGGCGCAAGGGGGAAAACCTAGAGCAACGGGGAAGAAAAGGGGGAAACAGAGGGAAAGAGGGTAGGAAATGAGGGGTTGGAGAGGGGAAATAAGGGAAAGGAGGGTGGTACATGAGGGAAAGAGAAGGGAGAAGGGAGGGCACTGGGGAGAGAGGAGGACAAGGAGGAGAGAGGAGGACACGGGGGGAGAGGAGGACACGGGGGGACATGACAAGGACACTGAGAGGGCAAGCACAGGCGAACAGGTGGGTAGGCAAGAGAAAAACAGTGAGGACGCGAATCACGGAACCAATGAGGGCAAGCAGGGGGGAAAAGGAGGGGAAGCAAGGGGGGAACGTAGGGAAAGCAAGGGGGGAAATTAGAGGAAGCAAGGGGGAAATTAGAGGAAGCAAGGGGGGGAAGCGAAGAGAATAAAAGGGATTGGAGGGGAGAGGAAGTCTTAGTGAAGGGAGGGGTAGTGCATTGTGAGGGAATGATAAGGTGCTCTGTGAGGAAAAATCGGGAAGTGTGACATGGGGGAAAGGGGGGGAGCGACCTGGGGGACAGGGAGGAGCGACCTGGGAGAAAGGAGAGGAGAGACCCGCGGGGGTAGGGGAAGTGGAGGGGAAGGGGAAGTGGAGGGGAAGGGGAAGTAGAGGGGAAGGGGAAGTGGAGGGGAAGGGGAGGTGCGACCTGGGGGAAGAGGAGGTGCGACCTGGGGGAAGAGGAGGTGCGACCTGGGGGAAGAGGAGGTGCGACCTGGGGGAAGAGGAGGTGCGACCTGGGGGAAGAGGAGGTGCGACCTGGGGGAAGAGGAGGTGCGACCTGGGGGAAGAGGAGGTGCGACCTGGGGGAAGAGGAGGTGCGACCTGGGGGAAGAGGAGGTGCGACCTGGGGGAAGAGGAGGTGCGACCTGGGGGAAGAGGAGGTGCGACCTGGGGGAAGAGGAGGTGCGACCTGGGGGAAGAGGAGGTGCGACCTGGGGGAAGAGGAGGTGCGACCTGGGGGAAGAGGAGGTGCGACCTGGGGGAAGAGGAGGTGCGACCTGAGGGAAGAGGAGGTGCGACCTGGGGGAAGAGGAGGTGCGACCTGGGGTAAAGGGGAGGAGCGCCCTGTGGGGAAGTTGAAGTGCGAGTTAGGTGGAAAGGGGAAGTGCGACTTGGGGGATAGTGGCGGTGCGACTTTGCTCGGAAGGGGAGGTGCGACTTGGGGGAAAGGGGAAGTGCGACATGGGGGAAAAGGGAGTTGCGACCTTGGGAGAGATGGGAACGGAAAAGGGATCGGGTTTCGTCCTTGGAGGTAACGAGGTGGCGGTGGAGGCGTAGGCGATGAGGCGCGACATGGAGGCTGCAAGCCGTTGAGGAGGCGCATCGGCGTGGCGGTGATGTGGACGCGATTGCATTAGCGGGGTGGCGTGGCGGCGATGAAGCGGCGTTCGGGAACTTACATCGTGGCGTGGCGAGGGATGAGGGAGGGATGAGGGAGGGGAGGACGAGATGGGAGAGGAGAGGACGGGAGGAGAGAGGAGAAGACGGGAGGAGTGAGGAGAGGACGGGAGGAGAGAGGGGAGGACGGGATGAAAGAGGAGAGGAGACGACGTGAGAGCGGAGGAAGGGACGATAGATGGACGGATGAGAGGGGGAGGACGGGATGAGAGATGAGAGTGAGGGATGAGAGAGGAGAGTCCGGGATGGGAAAGGAGAGGGAGGGATGAGTGAGTGGGGGACGGGAGGAGAGAGGGACGGGAGGGATGAGAGAGGGGAGGACGAGATGATAGTGGAGAGGGAGGGATGAGAGGGAGGAGGACATGGTCCTGAGAGGATAGAGGGGGATGATAATGGATGAAAGAGGAAAGGAGGGAATGAGAAAGGAGAGGGAGGGATGAGTGAAGGGGGGACGGGGGTGAGAGAAAGGGGGAGGTCATGAGAGATGTGAGGACGGGATGAGAAATGGAAAGTGGGGGGGAATGCGAGGTGAGGAGGAAATAATAGAGGGAATGAGGGGATGAGAGAGGGGAGGAGGGGAAGAGACAGGGGAGGAGGAGATGAGAGAGGAGAGGAGGGAATGAGATAGGCTCCGGATTGGATGAGATGGGAGAGGAGGGGATGGGAGAGGCGATGAGGGGATGAGCGAGGGATGGAGGGGTTGAGTGAGGGAGGGACGGGATGAGAGAAGGACGGAGGGGAGGATCGAGGAGAGGCGGGGATGAGAGAAGGAGGAAGGGGATGCGAGAAGGTGGGATGGGAGGAGGGGATGAGAGAAGGAACTGGGGTGGAGCGATGGGAGGAGGGAATGAGAGAAGGAAGGAGGGGACGAGTGAAGGACAGCCGGGATGAGAGAAGGAGGATGGTCTGAAAGAGGGGAGGAGGGGATGAGAGAGGGGAGGAGGGGATGAGAGAAGGTAAGATGGGAGGAGGGAGGGGAGGCGGGGATGAGAGAATGAGGGTGGAGATGAGAGAATTGAGGAGGGGATGAGAGATGGAAAGGGGGGAGGAGCAATGGGAGGAGGGGATGCGTGGGGGAGGGAGGGGATGAGTGAGGGAGGGAGGGGATGAGAGAAGGAGTGATGTGATGATAGAGGGGAGGAGCGAGGAGAGGCGGGTATGAGAGAAGGAGGGGGGGAATGGGAGATGGGAGGAGGGTATGAGAGATGGGAAAGGGGGACGTGCGATGGGAGGAGGGGATGAGAGAAGGAAGGAGGAGGGGATGAGAGATGGAGGGATGGGCTGATAGAGGGGAGGACGGGATGAGAGTATGACGGAGGGGAGGAGAGAGGGGAGGCGGGTATGAGAGAAGGAGGGATGGGAGGATGGGAGATGGGAGGACGCCATGAGAGATGGTAAGATGCACGGAGCAAGGGGAGGCGGGAATGAGAGAAGGAGGGAGGGGAGGAGGGATGAGAGGAGGGTATGAGAGATGGAAAGGGGGGACGAGCGATGGGAGGAGGGGATGAGTGAGGGAAGGAGGGGATGAGAGAGGGAGGGATGGGATGATAGAGGGGAGCACGGGATGAGAGAAGGACGGAGGGGAGGAGAGCGGGGAGGCGGGGATGAGAGAAGGAGGGTGGGAATAGGCGACGGGAGGAGGGTATGAGAGATGGAAAAAGGGGACGCGCGATGGGAAGACGGGATGAGAGATGGACGGATGGGAGGAGCGATGGGAGGAGGGGATTCGCGATGGGAGGAGGGGATGAGAGAGAGGAGGAGGGGATGAGAGAGGGAAGGAGGTATGAGATAGGGGAGGGGGGGATGTGAGAGGGGAGGACGGGACGAGAGAAGGCGGGGATGAGGGGAGGAGGGAGGGGTTGAGGGGGGGGGTGGACGGGATGAGAGATAACAAGAGAGGAGGAGCGATGGGAGGAGGGGATGAGTTTTGGGAAGGAGGGGATGAGAGAGCTTTCGAGGGGGGTGAGAGAGGGGAGGACGGGATGAGAGATAGGAGGACGTGTGGGGCGAATGTCCCCCTCGGGAATCCGGTTTCGCACCTGATGCACATGCTTTGACCGCCTGGTGCAGTGTATGGAACACCTGGGACTCGGGAAAGTGCACCTGCGGCGCGGGGTAGTGCACGGCCCGGACGAGAAAGAGGCGCGACGCGAACTGTGGGAGCGGGACGAACAGGGGCATGGGGAGAGGGGAAGGCGGGGAGGGGAGAGAGGGCGGGGTGAGGGGTTTGGAGGCAGGGTGACGGTTGGGGCGGCGCGTGGGAAACTGAACGCGAATGGCAGAGGTGCATAGGCGGAGATCGAGACAGAGATGTGGGAGGTGGGGCGTTCAGGGACGATACGCCCATCGCAGGGACTAGACACGCAGTAGATGTAGTTTTGTGGACACGGAAGGCAAAAGAGTTATATGGCTACTGCTAAGCTCGGGAAGCTCCCCAAGAAAGGTGTGGATCATCTGCGGGAGCAGACGACGGCATGATGGTGCATTTTCCAACCCTGGCATGCGTGGAGGGTTCGGCCACAGGCTTTGCGGGAGGTTGCACGATTTCAGACGAGCTAAGGAGTTGGGCGCTGGAGCACTGGGGCGGCCAGCATTTCGCTAAATGCAGATCTTGAGGAGTGTTACAAGCGGGTTTGCCTCTCAGCAGGCGATGAGGAGGTTGGGTAGCGAGGCGGCTGTGTGATGGTGAAGAGGCGGATGGGCGGCGACCCGTCGGCGAGGATGAGGTCCCTAATCGTGGCGAGGCGGCGAGCAGGCGACAATCTGGCGACGACGCGCCGACTAGCTGGCGAGGCGTCGCCCGGCGAGGACACGAAGCAGCCGGGAGTCGAGATAGGCGGGGAGGCGAGAGATGCGTTACGGCGATGCGGGGTTGAGAATGTGAAGTGGCGAAAGGACGAGGAGGTCGCGAGGACAGGAAAACGACGCGCCGCGTTTCCCTGTCGTCGTCACGCGCACCAGCGAGGACAAGTCACAGCAGCTGAAACCGACTACCATGTACTTGCTGGCTTACGAGCCTCCTACGTGCTCCTTATGTCGATGTGGCGCTTAGGGAGTGCATTCTTAGTTGCCATCTCTTGAGTAGTGCTGTTTCGACGCTTTGGCGTTGTGCGCTTTTGCTGGTTTTTCACATGCTTGGTTGATCGACTCACTTCATGCCCGCTGCCTTTTCACTTACGCGGTTGATTTCCGCCCTTGCGCGGTGTACTCCCCCAGCCAAAAACTCAACTGAAAGAGGTAGGCTTCGCATGCCTGGTTTCAATCCCTCGCACCAGCCTTACACCTCCTGCAAAATTCGCCCTCGAATCAGTAAGCGCCATAGGGCGTGCACTAACTTTACACCCAAAAGCCACCCCCAGGAATGTGCACCCTTGCTTTAACACCGCAATCGATTGCTTAGCTGCCTGGTGGCTTGTTCCGCTTTCCGGTCATTGACGGATTTAGGCTAACAAAGCAGGAAATTGACATTTACTAGTGTCAATGCATCGTTAAAGCCGGCGGCCCAAATTGTTCATGCTTTTAAAAGTTGACCAGAGGGAGTTTTTCTGGTGTGGGCTTTGGCGAGAGTTTCCGATTTCGTCTAGGTTCGTTTTTTTCGCGAGACCCAGCCAACCCTCGGTTTTCCCCCTGGTGAGTGAATCTGTCTTCGAAAGTCCCAAATTGCAAGTGCGTGACTTTCAAAAGCTTGGACACTCAACTTCGTCAAGTTTTAAAATCTTGACCCTCGCGGCCCGCAATTTGGGACGCGGGCTTTAATGTCAGTGTTATTTTCCAGATAAACGTGCAGCATAGGTTCAGGATGTAGCACAACACGACCTACATTATCGAGTATCTAATTTGCCGGTTGAACTGTCTTTAATATGGAGCGTTTATCGTAGCACAAGATATAGCTAGGGTGAGTATCACCTGCCGTGATAGGAGCTTATTTTAGAGAGATGAAAAATTTCTAAGCGTTCATCGCTTTCAAATTTGTGTATTGTGAAAGCGAAGCTGACTGTAACGCAATTTTGAGCATCGTCGAAGCACACTATTCGCCTTCTCCGAATATATAATGTGGGTTGGGTTCATTTTTCCCCTACCCGCGTCTCTCATTTTTACAATCGCTCAAGTTCAATTCCCACCCACCCTCCCCAGGCTAGTCACCCTTGCAAAATAGTAGTTCTTACACATCTTGTTTTGTTCTTACAACTATATTACTGCTAGGAACTAATGTACTTGAGCCCATTGTAATGAGAACGATGCCAATTGCTACAAAAGCAAGATTTCTCAATCGATAATTTGTGGGAACAATGTGTCGCTGGCGCTTCCTTTCACAAACGCGCATTCCTGCTTGGTGGTTACAGGAGGACGTTGCAACCTAAACGGAACAACAAAATACTCGGTATCGAGCCTTAGGGTATTCTAGGTTGCCAGCCTTGAAACCCGCAGTTACCAAAGGCACCGTCGGGTTACAAGAGAGAGTCGCCCTGTCGAGATGGAAAGTGTTGGGTGGTAACCGTGCTGGTTACATCGAAAACAAGAATCTGCTCTGGATTCGGGCGAATCATGCGACGGGCTTGCAAATGTCCAGATTGGGTTGGGCCAGGTGCGGATGATTTGCGGATGATTTGAGGGGATAGGAGTGAGGAAGGCGGAAGGAAGCAACGCAAAAACAGTTCACCAAAATTGTGTGAGGAGTGGGCGGGTTTGATTGCCTGCGGAACAAACACCTGAAATCTGCGATCCGAAAAGCAGCGCATGCAGAAAATGCCCCTGGGTGGAAACCTGGTTAGCTTCAGACCAGTTAGGGACGCCACTGTCGCAGGTCGAACTGATTGCGGAGGCAGTACACAGTACACGTAGATGTGTTTCTCCTGACCTGAAACTCCTGGTTGAGCGCGACTCGTTCTGCCCATGTGGTCGCGGCTCGCAACAAACCTCAAACCAAAACCTCGCTTTCAGACATGCCAAGGCATGGGGTGGTGGTGAATAAAGCAGCACCGAGGCTACGTTTTATTCAGCAACAGCACATCAGAACAGTTTATTAGTCTCAGTGGTGACCCAAAAGTGGGGATTCTTCATTTCTCTATCAGCAGAGAAGCCAAATACGTACCTGCGCCGTATTGTCAATTTGACTGAATATAGTAGAATTTTTAATAACCAGATTCAGCAGACGAGTTTAGCTCATGGCGCGTCTACTTTTTGTCGCCACATTCGCCGTGCTGCTGGCGGTGGCGTCCGCAGGACAAACCGTCGTGACTGGACCCAACAACCCTGCAGTCAGCCTGGACAAGGCCAAGGGCGAGAATGGCGTGGCAACCGAGGTCCCTCCTGGCATCGAGAAGGCGGCGGCCGCCGGCGGGCTGGACAAGTTCGAGGGGACGACGATCGTGAGCCCGAGCACAGACAGTATTCTGATGGTGGACGTGAAGGTTGCGGGATGGAACAAAATGAAGTGCCACAAGGACCTGGGCAAGCCCGGGGAGGGCGCGTGCACGCCCGCCAACTGCAGCAAGGGCGGCATCGCCGCCAAGTGGAAGACGTCGAACCTGCTCAAGAACAAGCTGGGCGTGGAGGTGTACGTGAAGGGCAACCCGCTGACGCTGAAGAAGGCGTCCCCGCAGACGTGCTGCAACACGTGCGCGGGGTACAGCAGCTGCACGTACTGGCAGTACATCCCCGACATCACGATCGACGGCAAGAAGACGGACGGCGCGTGCTACCTGGTGCACGACAACATCGACTACTCGTGCGGCGACATGACGGCGCAGTACGCCACCGACTCGAAGCCGGTTCATCTGCAGGTGCGCACGGGCGGCGAGTGCAACCCCGCGGCGAACGTGGTGAACGACCCGCATCTGGTGGGCGCGTACGGCACGCACTTCGACTTCAACGGGCGCCCCGATAAGGCTTTCTGCCTGCTGACGGACAAGGACCTGCACGTGAACATGCTGCTGCGCGGGTACTACTCGGATGACACGGAGAACGCGGCGCTCGTTGTGGACGGCAAGGCCGTGCACACGTGGATCAAGGAGCTCGGCATCATCTGGTTCGCCAACGGCGCCGACCACAAGGTGCGGCTCGCGGCGCGCTCTGGCAAGCAGCAGGAGCGTGGTGATGGGTTCATGAAGACGATCGAGATCGACAGCGAGGAGATCCCGAGGATGCACGTGGGCGACGAGGTGACGACCGAGGGCGGGCTGACTCTGCGATTCGCGGCGCTGGAGAAGGAGGGCCCGTATGACGTGGACTACTACACGCTCACGATCGACGGGCTCGTGGCGCTCGACCTGCGCCTGCGCGTGGCCAACCCCAAGCTGCAGACGCCCAGCGAGGCCGAGGCGCACATCAACGTGGGGATTGTGGAGCTGGAGCACACCACCGATGTGCACGGCGTGCTCGGCCAAACGTACCGCCCCGACCACGCGGCTCGCGCCGCCGACTTCCAGCGCCTGATCGCGAACCTGCACCGTCCGATCTCAGCTGACAGCCAGGAGGGCGCTGGGTTCCTTGACGGCACTCCCCGGCTGTACGAGTCGAGCTCCGTGCTGTCCGTGGACTGCGCGCAAACGGAGTACCACCGCGCCAAGCAGCTGAGCCCCGTCGAGGACTTCCCCATGGAGCCCCTCAACTAGACGCGCGCACCCTCCCAGAAAAATCGGTGGGCTTTGATTTGGTGGGCTGATTTTGTAGAGCTTCCCTTGTATACTAGGTATCGAAGTCGATACTCCTGTACATTGATATATTATGAAACTCTTGGACCCTTTTACCACGGTCTCTTGCCCGTACTGGTGACTGTCGAGCAGAAAGGAGTTGTGACAGATGCTACTGCTGGGTATCACAGTCCATTTCAACCGTGCCCTCACATCCTCCTGAAGCTCCTTTGCAGTGAATTCTCTTCCCAGCTTACCGATATCAGACATATCAGAACGTTTGTACTAGAACTTCTGCAGCAGCTGCGAGCTTTGTTGCTGGTCAAGGAGCCAGGGGCGCCAACCACAAGGTGTGGCTGGATGGGGTGCTGTGGTCAGGCCCCCACCCCCACATGGTGTGGCTGGATGGGATGCTGTGGTCAGGCCCCCACCCCGGAAAACAGCTAAAAAACACTGGTTTACAGCTTTACGGTGCCGTAGAATTCACAAGAGCAACTGCATTTGAGCTTGAAGTGGTACTGAGACTTTTAAAATATCTGCACAAGTTCTGGTAGCTGGAACAACACAGGCATTTGTTGTACACCCTCTTGTGCAAGAATAGCCTACACCTATGGGCTGCAGTTAGCTGGCTGCAGCCGCCTTGGCTGCTGCCTTAGCTCCTCCTTTGGCTCCTGCTTTTGCCCCTCTAGCCGCTGCAGGTTTCTGTGGGGCCTGGTTTCGCGAGATGGGCTGAGTGTTGCGCTGTAACCACTGCAGGGGTGCCCCTGATAGCAAAGGGGAGACCTGGAGTCGATGGGGCCAGGGAAAAAGTGGAGGTGGTGAGGTGAGTTGAGGCGCCTGATCACCACAGCAGTGCACGGGAGCTTCTGATGGATGTGGTTGCCACACTGAGGTAGATGCATACTGCTTGGTTGCCACACTGAGGTAGATGCATACTGCTTGGTTGCCACACTGAGGTAGATGCATACTGCTTGGTTGGGTGAGGTGATTTAAGCTGCTGTGCGCTCACCTCACTCCCACTCAGTGCCCCACCCACACTCAGTGTTCCACACTTGGTGTGCCACCCACACGCACAGCACCCCACACTCCCAGCATCCCACATTCCCAGCATCCCACACTCACAGCACCCCACACTCCCAGCATCCCACATTCCCAGCACCCCACACTCACAGCACCCCACACTCCCAGCATCCCACACTCACAGTGTCCCACACGCGCTGGTGATAGTCGTTAATCCACTTCACCTCTGCGTTGCTCAGCAGCTCCACACTCACTAGCTTCGTCTGCGGCCATGGGAAGGGGAGGGGGGAGGGGGGTGAAGGGAGCATGTGAGTCGACTTGGTAGTCGTTGATCCATTAGACCGCTGCGTTGCTCAATAGCTCCACACTCACTAGCTTTTTCTGAGGCCGTGGGGATGGGGTGGGATGAAACGGGAGGGATGAAACGGGAGGGATGAAACGGGAGGGATGAAACGGGAGGGATGAAATGGGAGGGATGAAACGGGAGGGATGAAATGGGAGGGATGAAACGGGAGGGATGAAATGGGAGGGATGAAACGGGAGGGATGAAATGGGAGGGATGAAACGGGAGGGATGAAATGGGAGGGATGAAACGGGAGGGATGAAATGGGAGGGATGAAACGGGAGGGATGAAACGGGAGGGATGAAACGGGAGGGATGAAACGGGAGGGATGAAACGGGAGGGATGAAACGGGAGGGATGAAATGGGAGGGATGAAACGGGAGGGATGATGAAACGGGAGGGATGAAACGGGAGGGATGAAATGGGAGGGATGAAACGGGAGGGATGAAATGGGAGGGATGAAACGGGAGGGATGAAACGGGAGGGATGAAACGGGAGGGATGAAATGGGAGGGATGAAACGGGAGGGATGAAACGGGAGGGATGAAACGGGAGGGATGAAACGGGAGGGATGAAACGGGAGGGATGAAACGGGAGGGATGAAACGGGAGGGATGAAACGGGAGGGATGAAACGGGAGGGATGAAACGGGAGGGATGAAACGGGAGGGATGAAACGGGAGGGATGAAACGGGAGGGATGAAACGGGAGGGATGAAGGGGGTACATACGTGATGTGTAACCTGGCTGCTATGACCGTTCAGAGCCAGCTGGTGCATCAGCTTTTGAGTTTTGAGGCGCCTCACGTTTTGTGAGATGGTTGGGAAGACCAATTCCATGTCATCACGACTCAGATGCACGGCAATCAGATGGACCGCACTCAACTGCCAGATAATTAAAAAAAAGGAACCTAAACTCCAGATTACAGAACCAGATAGGAGAGGGGAAGGTAGAGGGGAAGGTAGAGGGGAAGGTAGAGGGGAAGGTAGAGGGGAAGGTAGAGGGGAAGGTAGAGGGGAAGGTAGAGGGAGGAGGAAGAGAGGTACCTGGATTGGAAAGAGTGTGAGGCACTCGAATCCCAGATACGTTGTTTGAGGCGCCTCAAAAATCGTCCAGTTAGAAGAGGAAGAAGGACACGAGATGCAGGGGGAATGAGAGGTACCTGGATTGGAAAGAGCGTGAGGCACTCGAATCCCAGATACGTTGTGCCACCAAATCGGAACTGCGTCTGCTGCTCCCTCACCACAAGAAGGTTCTGGGAAGGTGGCGAGACAGGGCGGGGCGGAAGGAAAATGAGGAAGTGGGATGTGTGGTATGGTATAGATGGAAGGTGTGGCAAGGGGGGAGAAATCAGAGTGTGTGCGCATGTGTGATGCTCAGGACCATCAGGACCATGCCAGCCTGCCTGCCAACCAGCCAGTACCACATACCCACACGCCCGCTCCTCACATGGACCCTCACCATTCCATGCCCTGGCCCCCCCACCCCCTCCTCCCCCTCACATCGATTCTAATCCAGACCTGGTTATCGTGGTAGAATCCCGGCTCGTTGCTCACAACCATGCACGCTTGCCAGTACCACCCACCCTCCACTCAAATGGCCCCTCAACCCCCCCACTCCCCCACCCCCTCACGCCCTCAACCAACGCACCTCATGCAACTCCAATTCTGCGCACCTCAATCCTGATCCCAAACTGGTTATCATGGTAGAATCCCAGCTCGTTGCTCACAGCCATGCCTTCTTGCAAGTACCATGCACGTACCCTCCCACCCTTTCCTCACATGCTCCCTCACCAACCAAACCCCCCCACACATTCCACCCCTTGTCCCACTCCCATCCCCCTCACCTCAATTCTAATCCCGAACTGGTTATCATGATAGAACCCTGGCTCGTTGCTCACAACCATCCCCGCCTGTCAGTACCACACACGCACGTACCACCAACCCATCCCCTCATGCCCTGCAATCCCTTGTCCCTTGTCCTCACCTCGATTCTAATCCCAAACTGGTTATCATGGTAGAACCCCGGCTCATTGCTAACAACCATGCCGGCCTGCAGAGGAGTCGGGTTGCCAAAGCGAGGGCTGATGCTCTGCGGCCCCTCGTGCACGTTGAGACCAGCGCCCACGCCGTGCCCCGTGCCGTGCCGGTAGTCCAGCCCCATGCCCCACAGCGGGCTTCGGGCGAGAATGTCCAGGGCGAACCCGGGCGTGCCCTGGGGGAACACCGCGCAATCTAACGAAATGTGGCCCTGGAGAGTTGGGAATGGGGAGCGGGAAACGGGAGGAGAGGGGATCAGGAACGCTGCACTGCTTCTGTGCTTCTCTACTGCTCTGCGGCCCCTCGTGCAAGTTGAGACCAGCGCCCACGCCGTGCCCCGTGCCGTGCCGGTAGTCCAGCCCCATGCCCCACAGCGGGCTTCGGGCGAGAATATCGAGGGTGAACCCGGGCGTGCCCTGGGGGAACACTGCACGGTCCAGCACTATGTGGCCCTGTGAGGGGAGCGGAGGGGGAGGGGAGGGAAGGAGGAGGGGAGGAGGGGGCCTTGCTGCCCCATGCCTCCCCGGACTACAATGTCCAGGGCAAAACCGGGCAGCACTCCTTCTCACCTGACAGCACTGCTTACCACCCGACAGTACTCTTTCCTCACCTGCAGCACGCGTGTGTAGCACTCCTTCTCATAGTCCGAAGGGGTCCCAAAGTGAACAGTGCGCGTGATGTCTGTTGTGCCATCCATGTACTGTGCTCCGCTGTCCAGCAGAAGCATCTTGGAAGGATCCACCACCGCACAGTTGTCCTCCTCGGCTCGGTAGTGAATGATAGCCCCGTTCTTGCCCGAACCTGCACGCCAGGCTCGGAGAGGTTGACAAGAACTTCCATGAGCTTCTCAGAGTTTTGCCATGCTTGAAACCAGCAGTTCATGCCATGCCATGCCATGCCATGCCATGCCATGACATGCCATGCCATGCCATGCCATGCCATGCCATGCCATGCCATGCCATGACATGCCATGCCATGCCATACCATGCCATGCCATGCCATGACATGCCATGCCATGCCATGCCATGCCATGCCATGCCATGCCATGCCATACCATGCCATGCCATGCCGTGCCATGCAGGAACCATCCAAAACCAGCACTGCTGTTCTCTGAGTCAACAAAAAAAGCCACTGATGTGCACTAGTGCACTGCACCGAGTATTTTCAAGCACTAGTGGATACCCTCACCTGCAATGCTGTCAAAGCTGGTGTTGAGAATCAACAGGATATTTTCTTGCTCATCTTTCTGTCTAGCACATAAGAAACTATCAAGAGGACACCTCACCTGCAATGGTATCCAAGCTGGTGTCCAGGAACCCCTCCTGCTGTGCGCGGAACGCCTCTAGCTTCTCCCCCAGCTCCACCCCCATCACATTCCTTCCCCTCCTCCACCACCGCTGTGCGCCTACCACCACTCCTCTGCACCCAATCTCATCAAGCACCATACAGCCAGCTGACAACGCACCTGCGATGGTATCAAAGCTGGTGTCAAGGAACCCCTCCTGCTGTGCGCGGAACGCCTCTAGCCTCTCCCCCAGCTCCACCTCTGTCACTGCCCTCCCCTCCTCCACCACCGCCCTCTCCGCCCACTCCCAGAAATGTGCCATTGCCACCGCGTCCCTGGGAGAACGAGTGCAGGTATATGATTCGTTGAAGAGGGAAAAAAGGGGAAACGAAACAGGAATCACTTGTTTAAGCATTGCCTTAATGGGTCCTCCCCTCCTCCCCCACCACCCTCTCCGCCTAATCCCAGAGGCACGCCATTGCCACCGCATCCCTGGGAGAACTGGTTCGGAAAAAGAGATACATTACAGTAAGGGTAATTGAGAAAGAGGAAATACCACCCCATCCTTCTTGTTCGAACATTCCCTCAGTGAATGTGCACGTTCTTCATCCCTTCGATCTCAGATTCATTCTTCAGCGCCTTGGCCAGAGAGATTAGGGTAGTGCGAATCAGCACTGAAGGGCCTTCCGCTGCCACCGCTCCCTCCCGTCCTCCAACCCCTTACCGATTTTCCAAGTCAAGTAAAAGTCTCTCTCACCGGAAGTGGGCATTCTTCATCCCCTCAATCTCAGATTCGTTCTTCAGCGCCTTCGCCACAGAAACCACCGGGGTGGTGCGCCTCAGCACTGCTGGGCCTTCCACTGCCACGGTTCCCCGCCCTATCCACCCTGTTCCCTTTTTTCAAACAAGTGGAAGACCCCACTCACTGGAAGTGGGCGTTCTTCATCCCCTCAATCTCAGATTCGTTCTTCAGCGCCTTCGCCACAGAAACCACCGGGGTGGTGCGCCTCAGCACTGCTGGGCCTTCCACTGCCACGGTTCCCCGCCCTATCCACCCTGTTCCCTTTTTTCAAACAAGTGGAAGACCCCACTCACCGGAAGTGGGCGTTCTTCATCCCCTCAATCTCAGATTCGTTCTTCAGCGCCTTCGCCACAGAAACCACCGGGGTGGTGCGCCTCAGCACTGCTGGGCCTTCCACTGCCACGGTTCCCCGCCCTATCCACCCTGTTCCCTTTTTTCAAACAAGTAGAAGACCCCACTCACCTGATGTGGGCGTTCTTCATCCCCTCGATCTCAGATTCGTTCTTGAGTGCCTTGGCCAGAGAGATTGGAGTGGTTCGGCTGAGCACTGCCGGCCCTTCCACTTCCTCCCCGCCTGCTCCCCCTCGCTCCTCCCTCCCCTTCCCCCCCTTCCCCTCCTTGCTCTTCTTCTCCCCCTTCTCGCCCTTCTTCCCCTTCTTTCCCCCGAATCCCCCCTTCCCTGAGGCTCTCTGCTCGTAGAACTGAGCGCAGGCGGCTTCAACAGAGCAGAGCACTGCAGAGGAGGCGGAGGCAGGGTCGAGCCAGAGGCGAGCTCCGTCCATGGCAGACCTGATGGAAGGTGGGTAGTGAGAAAACGAAAAAGGATGGAGAGGTGGGAGAGGGAGGGAGCGCAGGCGGCTTCAACAGAGCAGAGCACTGCAGAGGAGGCAGAGGAAAAGTCCAGCCACAGGCGAGCCCCTTCCATGGCAGATCTGCCAAGGGGGAGGGCGGAGGCGGAGGGCGGAGGGGGGAGTGGAGGGGGGAGAAAGGAGAAGGGAGAAGAAGAGATAGAGGAGAGAGAAGGGAGAGAGATGGGAAAAGGGGGCTAGAGAAGTGGGTCGTGCTAAGGAGAAGTGAAGGAATCTTCATGAATGCATGCTGCTTGTAGCACAGGGCGGTGCTGAGTCGACTCATAATTCGACTCTAAACGAGGTGACTTCTGAGTCGATTCAAACTACTCGCAGAGCAGCGCACCACTGGGCTTTTTAAACTAATTCTGGAAATTCCAGAAACGCGTCGCAGCACAACACTGGGCTGCTGCAGGCAGCAGTGAAATGGGCCAAAGCCGTGCCACGGTGGCACCTCCGTGGGGGCAGCCTGGCAGCCTGGCAGACTGGCAGTAGGGAACAAAATACCTCTGAAGAGGCACGAAGTAAAGAGGTGGGATTCGAAAGAGACGCCTGCTGACTTTATGAATCAACTGAAGAATGCACGCACGTAAGGCAGGCGAACGCACGTACCGCTGGAGGAAGGGCACGAGGTCGCCCTACGGCTTGACAGACACGCCTGCTGCTGCCAGATGCTCCCCCACTGCAGGGGCTGCCACCTTGCTGGGATCCACAAAGAGGTGTGCCCCCTCTGCAGGAGGACGGAAAACGCACGTACCTTTGGAGGAAGGGAACGAGGTCCCCATATGGCTTGACAGTCACGCCCGCTGCTGCCAGGTGCTCTGCAACAGCAGGAGCTGCCACCTTGCTGGGATCCACAAAGAGGTGTGCTGCTTCCGCCTCCACCACTGCATATGCCACTGTCACTGGACAGTGCGGCACATCTGCCCCGCGCTGTTGAGCGTGGGTTGGAGGGGGAGAGGGAGAGGGACAGTGTTTTTGAGAATTCTCAAAAACCAGCTCGGCACAAAGAGGTCCGCTGCTTCCGCCCCAACCACTGCGTACGCCACTGTGACTGCACAGTGCGGCACGTCCGCTCCCCTCTGATGGGGGAAAGAGGGGCAGAACGTGGTTGGGGAGGGGGACGGGGAGAGGGAGAAGGACTGCGACCTTGCCCGCCATGCAACGTAAACCAGTGCAGCACTCACCACGTTGACCATTCACTCACCACGTTGACCATTCACTCACCACGTTGACCATTCACTCACCACGTTGACCATTCACTCACCACGTTGACCATTCACTCACCACGTTGACCATTCACTCACCACGTTGACCATTCCCTCACCACGTTGACCATTCCCTCACCACGTTGACCATTCACTCACCACGTTGACCATTCACTCACCACGTTGACCATTCACTCACCACGTTGACCATTCACTCACCACGTTGACCATTCACTCACCACGTTGACCATTCCCTCACCACGTTGACCATTCCCTCAACACGTTGACCATTCACTCACCACGTTGACCATTCACTCACCACGTTGACCATTCACTCACCACGTTGACCATTCACTCACCACGTTGACCATTCACTCACCACGTTGACCATTCCCTCACCACGTTGACCATTTCCTCACCACGTTGACCATTCACTCACCACGTTGACCATTCACTCACCACGTTGACCATTCACTCACCACGTTGACCATTCCCTCAACACGTTGACCATTCCCTCACCACGTTGGCCATTCCCTCAACACGTTGACCATTCACTCACCACGTTGACCATTCACTCACCACGTTGACCATTCACTCACCACGTTGACCATTCACTCACCACGTTGACCATTCACTCACCACGTTGACCATTCCCTCACCACGTTGACCATTTCCTCACCAAGTTGACCATTCACTCACCACGTTGACCATTCACTCACCACGTTGACCATTCACTCACCACGTTGACCATTCCCTCACCACGTTGACCATTCCCTCACCACGTTGACCATTCCCTCACCACGTTGACCATTCCCTCACCACGTTGACCATTCACTCACCACGTTGACCATTCCCTCACCACGTTGACCATTCACTGACCACGTTGACCATTCCCTCACCACGTTGACCATTCCCTCACCACGTTGACCATTCACTCACCACGTTGACCATTCACTCACCACGTTGAGCAGCCATGCCACCTCATCCAGAGCGGATACCAGCAGCGCCGTGGCCCCAGCACATAGGTGAAATATATTTTACTGGTCAACTGGGTTAGCATCAACTGAACACTGGTCATGCCAGCCAAACCAGTGCAGCACTCACCACGTTGAGCAGCCATGCCACCCCATCCAGAGCAGACACCAGCAGCGCCGTGGCACCGGCTTCTCTCATCTCCGCCCGCAGCTGCTGCAGCTTCGCCCTCACTGTCTGCCCCGCGAACTCGATAGGGTGCACCCTCATGGGCGCTGATGGGGGCGCAGGGCGCTGGTGGGAGGCACGAAAGTGGGGGGAGAGTACGAGGAGACTTTGAGGCATGTGGAAAAGCATCCCTCATCTCCGCCCGCAGCTGCTGCAGCTTCGCCCTCGTTGTCTGCCCTGCGAACTCGATCGGGTGCACCCTCATGGGGGCCGAGGGGGCCGGGGGGCGCTGAGGGGAAGAGCAGGGGCGGGACAGGGAGTGCAGGCAAGGAGACTGTTTAGCTTGAGACTTAACAATGGGCGTTCCTCATCTCCGCCCTCAGCTGCTGCAGTGCAGCTTCGCCCCCAGTGTCTGCTCCGCAAACTCCATTCGGTGAACCTTAGTGGTGCTTATGGGGGCGGCGGGGGCTGGTGGGAGAGGATTGGAGAAAGGGAGAGAGGGGGGAGGGGAGCGTAGGCAAGAGAATGCGGAAAGGTGAGAGGTGGAAAAGCTAAAATGCAGGTGCTTCCACTCTTGCACACACACACACCCACCCCCCTAAGCGATAATGGACTGTCTAAATTGATCCAACCCCTCTCCCCACACACCCAACCTCTGACCGCCCTCCCCCTCACCCCCACTGACCTCCGCGCCCCACACGGCGTCAACAGGGTTGCTCTCGCGCAGCAGCGGGATGATCTAGCCCCTCGCCCCCACCTCCCCAGCAAACCCACCTCTGCGGCCCCCACTGGCCCTCCCTCCCCCTCTCCCCACTGCCCTCCCTCCCCCTCTCCCCACTGGCCCTCCCTCCCCCTCTCCCCACTGACCTCCCCCTCTCCCCACTGACCTCCCCCTCTCCCCACTGACCTCCGCGCCCCAAACAACGTCAACAGGGTTGCTCTCGCGCAGAAGTGAGATAAGCTAACCCCCACAGTGGCCCTCCTGCCCCCCCACACTGCCCTCCCCCTCTCCCCACTGACCTCGGCGCCCCAAACAACGTCAACAGGGTTGCTCTCGCGCAGCAGCGGCACCACCACGGATGAGGACGCTGCCAGCGTGTCCGCCAGGCCTCTTACGTTGTCAGCCGAATGCACAAACTGGAGGCGGCAACGAAAGAGGGAGGGGGGATTGAAAGAAGAGGGGGAAGGATGAACACATACGCACGCTGCCAGCGTGTCCGCCAGGCCCCTCACATTGTCGGCCGAATGCACAAACTGGAGGCGGCGGGATGGTGGGGGTGACGGGTGTTGAGGGTGGCGGGATAATGGGAGGTGAATCATAAGGCAAGGCTGCTCAAAGGACAAGGAAGCTGCCAGCGTGTCCGCCAGGCCCCTCACGTTGTCCGCCGAGTGCACAAACTGGGGTGGGGGAGAGAGGGAGGGGGAAAAAGGAGAAAGAAGGGTGCTTGATTCAAGAGGCTGTCGCAACTCGACAACACAAGAGTTGTTGGGCCAAGGCAAGGCACAAACTCCAGGCACCTCCCCCATTCCCACTGACTATATCTCCCGTCTGTTCCATCTCCACAACAACATCGACCAGCATGTGAACACCCCATGCTGCTGCACTTTCAACCTCCCCCCTATTGCTACCGACTCTGCCTCCATCTGCGCCACCCCCCTTTCCCCTGCCCTCCTTCACCCCCCTCCCCACCACCCGCTCGCTTTACCAGGTCAACCCCCACTCTGCTCCCCACGGGATAAGTTTCCGCCAGCCAGTCCGCGACGGAGGGCACGCCACGCCAGGCAACCCCTCCCCACCTGTATCACGACCAACTCTACCGCCGCTCCGCCCTTGCCACCCTCCTTTCCCCAAGCCCACCGCCCCCTTTTTCCCATTCTCCGTATTACTTACAAGGTCAACCCCACTCTGCTGCCCGCAGAGAGTGCTTCCGCCAGCCAGTCCACGACGGAGGGCACGCCAGGCATACCCCCTCCCACGACTACCGACTCTAATCCCCCATCCTTGCTACCCTCCATTCCCCAAGCCCATCCCCTTGGCAATCACTGGGTCAACCCTCACTCGGCTTCCCCCAGGCAGCGTTTCCATCAGCCAGCCCGCCACGAAGGGCACGCCAGGCATCTCCCCAAATCATTACCGCCTCTTACCCCTATTCATGCCACCCTCCATTCCTTAAGGCCCATCCCCCTTGTGATTACCGGGTCAACGCCCACTCAGCTGCCCGCGGGGAGCGCTTCCGCCAGCCAGTCCGCAACAGAGGGCACGCCGGGCAACCGGCCCTATGACTTCCAACACTACAAACCTACCCCCACCCTTGCCACCTTCCTTTCCCCCAAGCCCACCCCCTTGTGATTACCGGGTCCACCCCCACTCTGCTGCCCGCGGGGAGCGCTTCCGCCAGCCAGTCCGCAACAGAGGGCACGCCGGGCATGCCCGCGCGCATGAGGTCCCAGCCCGGCGGAAGCTGCTGCTCCGCCTGCAGGAAGTAGCGCCCGTCCGTCCACAGCAGCGCGCGCTCGCGCGTGACCACCGCCGTGCCTGCGGACCCCGTGAAACCCGAGATGAACGCGCGGCGCTCGAAGCACGGCGCCATGTACTCGCTCTGGTGGGGGAAGGTGGGGAAAGTGGGGGGAGGGGGGAAAGTAGGGGGGAGAGAGAGGGGGGGGGGGAAGGTAGAGTTACCCGTGGGGAAGGACAGAAGGAGAGGAAAGAATGAATGTGATAGTAACGCAATCCCTGGTTTGCCTGGTTTTCGAGGCGCCTCAAAAATAGTAATGCAATCCCTGGTTACCGTCGCCGTGCCTGGTGATGCCGCTACTGCAGATGGCAAAACGTCCGTGAGAGGGAACCTGTAATGCGAGAGCTTGAGGGCTTACTGAAGCAACCTGATATATAACGTATATCGCGAGTCACCCATCGTAATCTGTTTAAAGCCTAAATGGCGTAGGTTCCAGGAAAGCAACCTGGTGCGGGTCTTCGGACGGAATGATAAACGCGTTGACGCCCTTTCCCCCATCCACTTCCGCCATCACTTCCCGCAGCCGGCGCAAGCGCTTCTCCAGCTCCTTCCCCCGCTTCTGCGCCTTCTTGCTCGCATCCTCCGCTTTCTTCCCCGCATCTTCCGCCTTCTTCCCCGTATCCTCCGCTGCCTTATTCTCCGCTAAAATTTCCCCGTCTGGAGCTGCTTTTGCATCGGCAGAAGGAGCAGAGGGTTCGGCGGAAACTTCGTCAGCGCCGCTTTTTCGTGCGCGCGCAGAGCAGGTGAGGAATCGACGGCGAGATTCGCTACCGGGAAACGCGGCGGGTGATGCGGCGAAGGAGACGGACGGGGTTGTCGTTAGACTTTCGGAGCGACGTCCAATTGGAATCACAACTGAGCCGGAGGATGGACTATTACGCGTACTGGCGGTTACGCTAAGAAATGTTTTAGATACATGCGATGATGCTATGGGCATGGCGGAACCGTGAAGAGCGGTGGAGGAAGGGTGAAGCGGGGTGGCCTGGCCGAGAGCTAGGGTGAGCGAGGAAGCGGAAATGGCGGTGTGGCTCAACATTGTGGACGAGGCGATGCGGGTTAGCGACGGACGCGCGATGAAGACGAATGGAGTTAATGTTTTTGCTGATGCTGATGCTGACGCTGCTGCGGCTACGGCTGCTCGCAGCATGCGACGTCCGTTGGGCGGAAGTGGGCCTGATGCAGGAACTGCCTGTCTGCGCCAGTAGTTCCTCTCGAAGCACCTGAAATCTCCGCCGCGAGATGCGGAGACAAGCGAGCGGGTAAGGGAATCCTGGTTGAGAAGTGAATTCGCAAGGCGAAAAAGCTGCGTGTTCTGTAAAATCAATTTGTGAAAGTGACCAGATTCACGAACCGATTAAGAAGCGCTCTGAATCGTCGATTTCCGAGTGCGGATTCATGCAGCAGGTAGCCACGTGACCCTGATTGGTTTGGCACAAACCCAAGATTTAAAGCCCAGCCCTTGAATTACAGAAAAGCCCTCACAAACTGGCCCCAGTTTGTGTCGCGCCCCTACTGGGTGCAGGGCACAAGGCTTTCGGAACTTTTCCGAACCTCCAAGTGCCTGCCTTTCCGAACCAAATTTTCCCGCGTTGACACCCTTGAGCAATTCGGGTGTTGCCCTTTAAAGGTTCGGTAGGCCATTGTGAGCCCTTGGACGAAATGTGGCCCACATTTGAAGCTACTGTACAGTAAAATGTGGTACACTATTGCGAGAGGGAAAAAACGACGCAGGAGTTATCATTCGCAATGTGATTACAGTAAAATATAATTTGTTCTGCATCACCTATACGCAATTTCGTCTCCCCATCCCCGCCTGCAATTTCATTTCCGCCTTCCCGTCATTCCAATTCGTTCCGCGCTCCGCAATGCTTTCCAATCCAAGTCCTTAACTCATCAACTTCTTCCCACCGAGAAATCCCCATCAACTATTTCTCGACGTTCCTCACAACGCAAAATTCTGCGGCGCCGTACCAGCTATCAGTTTGGCCACCATGACACATGAAACGGGTGGAGACTAGGAATTCTGGGATAAGTAAATTGCTACCAGACATAGGGCTACAGATTGAAATAAATATCGTAGATCTTAAGAGTACAATACAATTAAGCTTTAGTAACAGCCCACCAATTCGCAGCCCACCAAGGAAACGACGGAACATGTACTCGGATCATAGCCACACGAAATTGAGAAGCTGAATCTAATTGAGAGGCTCCATGGGGAAGTCCTCGACAGGGCTCAGCTGCTTGGCGCGGTGGTACTCCGTTTGCGCGCAGTCCACGGACAGCACGGAGCTCGACTCGTACAGCCGGGGAGTGCCGTCAAGGAACCCAGCGCCCTCCTGACTGTCGGCTGAGATCGGACGGTGCAGGTTGGCAATCAGGCGCTGGAAGTCGGCGGCGCGAGCCGCGTGGTCGGGGCGGTACGTCTGGCCGAGCACGCCGTGCACGTCGTCGGTGTGCTCCAGCTCCACAATCCCCACGTTGATGTGCGCCTCGGCCTCGCTGGGCGTCTGCAGCTTGGGGTTGGCCACGCGCAGGCGCAGGTCGAGCGCCACCAGCCCGTCGATCGCCAGCGTGTAGTAGTCCACGTCATACGGGCCCTCCTTCTCCAGCGCCGCGAATCGCAGAGTCAGCCCGCCCTCGGTCGTCACCTCGTCGCCCACGTGCATCCTCGGGATCTCCTCGCCGTCGATCTCGATCGTCTTCATGAACCCATCACCACGCTCCTGCTGCTTGCCAGAGCGGGCCGCGAGCCGCACCTTGTGGTCGACACCCTTGGCGAACCAGATGATGCCGAGTTCCTTGATCCACGTGTGCACGGCCTTGCCGTCCACAACGAGCGCCGCGTTCTCCGTGTCGTCCGAGTAGTACCCGCGCAGCAGCATGTTCACGTGCAGGTCCTTGTCCGTCAGCAGGCAGAAAGCCTTATCGGGGCGCCCGTTGAAGTCGAAGTGCGTGCCGTACGCGCCCACCAGATGCGGGTCGTTTACCACGTTCGCCGCGGGGTTGCACTCGCCGCCCGTGCGCACCTGCAGATGAACCGGCTTCGAGTCTGTGGCGTACTGCGCCGTCATGTCGCCGCACGAGTAGTCGATGTTGTCGTGCACCAGGTAGCACGCGCCCTCCGTCTTCTTGCCGTCGATCGTGATGTCAGGGATGTACTGCCAGTACGTGCAGCTGCTGTACCCCGCGCACGTGTTGCAGCACGTCTGCGGGGACGCCTTCTTCAGCGTCAGCGGGTTGCCCTTCACGTACACCTCCACGCCCAGCTTGTTCTTGAGCAGGTTCGACGTCTTCCACTTGGCGGCGATGCCGCCCTTGCTGCAGTTGGCCGGCGTGCACGCGCCCTCCCCGGGCTTGCCCAGGTCCTTGTGGCACTTCATTTTGTTCCATCCCGCAACTTTCACGTCCACCATCAGCATACTGTCCGTGCTCGGGCTCACGATCGTCGTCCCCTCGTACTTGTCAAGCCCGCCGGCGGCCGCCGCCTTCTCGATACCAGGAGGAACGTCAGTTGCCACGCCATTCTCGCCCTTGGCCTTGTCCAGGTTCACCGCCGGGTTGTTGGGTCCGGTCACCACGGTTTGTCCTGCGGACGCCACGGCCAGCAGCACGGCGAACGTAGTGACGAAAAGTAGACGCGCCATTGTGATGGCTAGGTCTTGGTATCCACCCGGCGACCACCTTTCACTGATATATACGTTTGATCTAATAAGGTGTAATTAGTAGCGCGGTCCACTTGACTGAATTTCGTTATCAGATTGACGCGAGCACTCCTATTTGTGCCTTGCAGATGGGGTCGGTTGGCTCAGCTGTTAAATTCGAGGGTTTCCGGAGATGGAAGATTGTTGCGAGTCGCGACGATGTGGTAGGAGGAGTCCCACAGGTAGGTTGAAGCCAGGTTTGGCTCAGGAGAATCTTTCCTGACTGTTCATTCAACCTGACAATGAACAAGCGCTCCGTCTTCCCCAGATTTAAGCTGGCCCAGGATGTATCAGGTCACTTTCCGCACCTGATGCTGTAGAAGACGAAGCGCATGTGCCATTCCAGGAAGGCTTAACCCGCCAGCGCACAGAACTCACCTGAACCGGGTCCATGAACACCGCAGGTGCTTCTCGATGCAGGTGTAATATTAGTTGTTTCATAGCGCGTGTGCCCTTCTACAAACAACTTTGCTGTACTTTGCTTGGTACTTAGAAGCAATGTGCAACCAAACAGAATACAATGACAACTTTGATACCAGGAGTTTAATGTGAAGGTAAGTCAAGAAAACAACAATAATCCAGGCTCTTGACATGTAGTGCGTCCACAGATCCAGTTTAGAATGTGTGTGAATAGTAATGAATGACGGTTACAGTGCACTCCCGACCGCAGCTAAAGAAGCACGCCGTATCGAGAACGAATGTGAAGAGTCAAAGTTGACCCGAAACGTCAGACGGTTGGGATGCATCTGGACCGTCGGAAGCAGACAGCATCGGCAGCTGCAGGCAGGAGGGTTCTGGCGGGAACAGTTTCGTAACTGTACGCGCCGCACGGTTGGGAACGAATTTGAATAAGGGAATGTACCCCTTAGAGTACATGGCTAGCTAGGCCGATTCATATTCCCTGTACATGGCTATATTTATATCCTTGTATTTGCATGTTTTCATCATCTCAAGCATTTACATTCACTCTACTATTGAGGTCAAGGGCCCACCACCACTAAATCAGTAGTGTGCGAACCTTCCTGAGGTGATCCTGAGAACGATCAACTTCTGATCGCAACATGGTATGAGAGCGACCCAGGAATCTTTCGCACAGTCGGAAAGTGGCGACCGGCACACGCTCGCGTGTAAGAATGGCCGGAGGGTCTGGCGATCAGACGAATCTGACAGCTGAAGCGCAACCCAATCCGGCTGCGACAAGCGAGGGAACGACGACGATCGGAACCGAAGTCCTCGCACAACTGCTTCAGCGACTCACCAGCTTGGAGCAAGGGCTCCAAACATTGCTGAACGGCGACGCGGGAACATCCTCGCAACCTTCTCAACCAGCCCCAACCGGCCAGAACGCCGCCCCACACACATTCTCCCTCGACACAAATGGTTCAACTCCCAAGACTCCCAGTCCCAGTGAAGAGGCAATTCTCTCTGCGCAATCAAGGTTTCTCAGCATATCAAAAATAAAGACAAGTACCTGCTTTGACGGCAGAGATTTTTATACTCGGACCTTCGAACTGGAAATCCTGCTGCAGAACGCCCAAAACTTTCATTATTTCGATGGGAGTTAGACGTAGCCTGCCGAGGACACCGACGACGCCAAGGCAAGATACTACAACGAATCCTTGATGGCGTACGGGGTGCTTCTGCGGAACATGTAGTCGGCGAAGCAATTGAGCATTCGCTCATAAAAGACATCAGCTGCTCCAGCCCTCGACGCTTGGCGCCATCTCAACGGCGTATATCAGCCGAAGGACTCAGTCTCTTCGAGCCGGCTACTCCAGCAGCTACTGAAAACCAAAATGGCCCCAGAGGAGAAGGCCAACAACTACATCAATCGCTGTCGGAGCTTACGCGATCAAATCGCGAAACTTGGGAGCACAATCCCTGAGGAAATTTTCGTAAATATCGTGCTTCAAGGGCTCCGCCCAGAGTGGCGGCCCTGCAAGGCGCTTCTCCGACAACAGGGGGTCATCTCGGAGGCCGCCCTTTGCACCGCCCTTCTCGTCGAACAAAGGGATATGGATCAGCAGCGACCAGCGCCACGACGAGAACGAGAACAGCTCGCCTTCTCCGCCGACAACAACGAAGAGCGAAGGCCGCAACGCCTCTACTGCAAAAATTGCAGAAATTTTGGGCACCTAGCGGATCGATGTAAATTCCGATCTCACCCTTGCCAGACCAATCCGAGCAACTTGTCTGTCCGACAAGACGCACGAGGCGACGTGCGTCAAGCCCAGGGGTATCAACCCTCGTCCGCGCGCAATCTGAACCCAGCAATTCAGCATCAGTAGCAGCAGCCGTCATCGACTGCCCCAGTACGCAATGTTATGAGCAATAGGGCCATGACAGGCGACTCGCGTCGTCGTCGCGTGCGCTCACCCTCACCTGAGCCAGCACCGCACCCCATTGGCGCGTTCACCAACAACAACCCGTTCAGTCCGCGCCGCGACTTCACCGACGACGACGACCAAAACTGGAATCTTCTAGTCCCGCTGCTTGAAAGTCCCCTGCACGTACTTGATATGCGGGTGGCACCACTCGACTGTGTCAAAACATATGCATATTATTATCTAGGCTATATTGGGGCTATCCTTAAGGGGTACTGAAACATTCTCGACACTCTAGTTTTGTACCCCAACCTTGACCTAATCACATCCTTCCATGCCCATGTTCTAAGATGGTATCTAAAGCAATAGGTCTTTAGGACCTAAGATTAGGGCCCACCCGTTACCACGTTACCTAGGCTGCTGCCCGCGCGCGGCCTCTTTTTTTTCCCCACGCGCGCAGCCTGTTTAGGCCCGTTTAGGCCTGTTTTCGGCCCCGCGCGCCACGTCAACCGCCCGTGCAGCCTGCCGCCGGCCCGCGCGTCGCGTAAGCCGCCCGCGCGCAGCCTGCTTAGGCCCTGCACGCCGCGTCCGCCGCCGGCGTAGCCCGTTTTCGGCCCCGCGCGCTACGTCAGCCGCCCGCGCAGCCTGCCGCCAGCCCCGCGCGTCGCCTCCTCCGGTGACGGCGCGCTGCCCCCCGTCGCTCGTCACGGTGCGTGTGGGACCCGCGCGCTGCCCTGCACCAGCTACGCCGCCCCTAGAGCAGCCACCTCTGGACCCGGAGCAACCGCCCCTTGCCCCTGAAGCAGCCGCCCCTGGTGCAGCCGCCCCTGGACCCTCAAGCAGCCGCCCCTGGACCCACAGCAGCCGCCCCTGGCCCCTGAAGCAGCCGCCCCTGGACCCTTGAGCAGCCGCCCCTGGACCCAGAGCAGCCGCCCCTGGCCCCTGAAGCAGCCGCCCTTGGTGCAGCCGCCCCTGGCCCCTGAAGTAGCCGCCCCTGGTGCAGCCGCCCTTGGACCCTGGAGCAGCCGCCCCTGGACCCAGAGCAGCCGCCCCTGGCCCCTGCAGCAGCCGCCCCTGGAGCATCCACCCTTAGACCCCGAGCAGCCGCCCCTGGCCCCTGAAGCAGCCGCCCCTGGTGCAGCCGCCCCTGGACCCTCGAGCAGCCGCCCCTGAACCCTGAGCAGCCACCCTTGGCCCCTGAAGCAGCCGCCCCTAGTGCAGCCGCCCCTGGACCCTCGAGCAGCCGCCCCTGGAATCAGAGTAGCCGCCCCTGGCTACTACAGCAGCCGCCCCTAATGCAGCCGCCTCTGGACCCTCGAGCAGCTGCCCCTGGACCCAGAGCAGCCGCCCCTGGTGCACCCGCCCCTGGACCCTCGAGCAGCCGCCCCTGGACCCAGAGCAGCCGCCCCTGGACTCTGAAGCAGCCGCCCCTGGACTCCGTGCAGCCGCCCCTGGAACCGCGACGCCGCCCCTGGACCCCGTGCAGCTGCACGCCGAGCGCTGACCCTGCTCGCCCGGCGAGCGCCTGCTCTTCCCGCCACTTGTGAGCACCTGCCTTATTAGCGCACTGCCGCGCCATCTGCCTGCCTGCCTGCCAGCCAGTCAGCATGTCTGCCTCTCTGCCTCCCTGCTTGCCGCGCCTGCCCTGCCCGCGCTGCTACTGCTGCTACTTCTTTTGCTACTGCTTCTGCTGCTACTGGCGGTGGCCAGATGTAGTTCCAGCGGTGTCCACGCAAGTCTGTCCCGCCCCAGCAGCTTTGTGAGTGGTACGCTAGTTGGGGTTGTGGCGGTAGCCGTCGTAGTTGTTGCCCTGGAGCTAGTCAGTTGGGAGCGTCTGACAGTGGCCAGCTTCAGCTGCAGTGGCGTCCACGCGAGACACTTACGTCCTAGCAGCTTCACGAGTGGTACGCTCAGAGTAGAGGGTCTTTGAGTACCGTTCGCTGCCCGTACGTCATTCGCACAGGTGATCGGGCTGGTCAGGCTTGCGGGACGTTTAGTCACACACAGTCCCGCTGCTTCGCCCGTCTGAGCGACGCCTGGCGTATCGAGTTTGGCGACGAGGCTGAGCTCCCCACCTGGCTGGAGCTGCTTAGGCAGAAGGTAGATATCTTTACTCTTGACTATGATGCTATTCTCACTGCCATGTATGCATTGCCTACTAGTGCTGACCGTGCCTGTTCCCTGTGCGTACCGCCTGACCCAGGTATAGAGCCTGCTACTCTAGGTGCTGGTGAGGCTGCTGCCCTAGGTGCTGGTGAGGCTTCTGCTCCAGGTGATGGTGAGTCTGCTCTCTCTGGTACTGCGCCTGCTGAGGCCTTGTACACCTTCACACTTGACTCCGGTGCTTCTCGCTCCTTCTTTCGCGACAGCACCACCCTCACGCCGCTCAGTCGGCCGGTTGCAGTCTCTCTAGCAGACCCCTCTGGGGGTCCAGCCCGTGCGACCTCTACCACTGTCCTCCCAGATCTTGCTGTCCCGTCCGGCACAGTTTCGGGTCTTCACCTCCTCTTGTTCTCTACGAACTTGGTGGCGGGTTCCGCGCTCCAGGACGCAGGTGTTAACCAGTTCACCCCTGCCTACGAGCGTGTGATACACTACATGTGTGCTCAGACGGGTCGTCACCTGGCTACCTTCACTTGGCAGCCGAGGTCGGGCCAGTACACACTGACCACTGAGTCCCCTCAGGTAGCTGCGTTTGCGTCTCTGTTAGGTCAATTGTCGGCCCCCTGCTCGTGTCGCACCCTGTCGCACCGGACGGTCCTTTGGCACCACCGCCTTGTTCACCCTTCGATGCAGCGCCTTCTTAGCATGCACTCCCGTTACATTGTCTCTGGTCTTCCCAGGGTTCTCCCTCCCCTCCCACCCTCGCCTGCTCCTCCCTGTCTTCCCTGTGTCGAGGGGCGGCAGCGCGCCGCTCCTCACTCCTCCTCGTTCCCTCCCACAGAGGCTCCCCTGCAGACTCTCCACTTGGACGTGTGGGGCCCAGCCCGCGTCCGTGGACATGGCCACGAGCGGTACTTCCTGATGGTCGTCGACGACTACACGCGTTACACCACGGTCTTCCCCTTGCAGCGCAAGGGAGAGGTCCCTAATGTTTTGATCACCTGGATCCGCGCTGCTTGTATCCAGCTCCGCGAGCTGTTCCAGGTGGACTTTCCTATCCTGCGCCTACACTCTGACAGAGGTGGTGAGTTCTCCTCAGACCTCTTGGCAGCCTTCTGTGCAGAGCACAGCATCCGCCAGACGTTCACACTTCCAGCCTCTCCGCAGCAGAATGGGGTTGTTGAGCGCCGCATTGGCTTAGTCATGGAGGTCGCTCGTGCCTCCATGATCCATGCGGCTGCCCCCCATTTTCTGTGGCCATTTGCGGTCCGGTACGCCACGCATCAGCTCAACCTCTGGCCCCGTGTCTCCTTGCCGGAGACCTCGCCCACACTGCTGTGGGCGGGGAAGGTTGGCGATGCGTCGCGTTTCCGGGTCTGGGGTGCTCGTGCCTTTGTCCGTGATACCACCGCAGACAAGCTCTCCACTTGCGCTATTCCCTGCGTCTTCCTTGGCTTTGTCCCTGATGCGCCTGGTTGGCAGTTTTACCACCCCACCTCGCGCCATGTCTTCCCCTCTCAGGACGTCACATTCGACAATTCGGTTCCCTTTCACCGTCTCTTCCCCTACCGCACTGCCCCTCCCCCCCCCCCGCCGCTCTTCCTTGCTCCAGGTGCTCCCCAGGTAGACCCCCGCCCCGCTCCCGGTCCTGCTCCTTACGGTGTGAGGAGTCTGGGGGTGCTGAGCCTGGGGGTACTGAGTCTGGGGGTGCTGCAGATGGGGGCGCTGAGGCGTCTGGTGAGCAGTCTCCCGGGAGTGGCCGTCTCCGTAGTCACTCCGCTGGTACCTCGCCGCTGCACTCTCGTCGTCGACTCCCTCTCTCCCCACAGCAGCTGCGTGAGTGGTTCTTTGGCCGTCAGGGTCGCGCTGCTGGAGCTAGGGGCCCTATTGCGGGAGGCGCTGGAGCTGGTGACTCTGCTACTGAAGTTGTTTCTGCTGGAGGTTCTTGAGCTGCTGAGGGTGCTGGAGCTGGACGTTCTGGAGATGTTGGAGGTGCTGGCGCTGGTGGCGCTTGAGCTGGAGGTTCTGAAGCTGCTGAGGGTGCTGGCGCTAGAGGTTCTGGAGCTGTTGCGGGTGCTGGCACTGAGGGTTCTCAATCTGCTGTTGCGCGGTCTCCTTGGAGTAGCCGCCTTCGTCCGCGTGTGCCTCTCACCTCACAGCAGCTGCACGACTGATACGGTCGCCATTAGGGTCGCGCTTTTGGAGCTCGGGGCTCTGCCGCTAGAGGTACTTCTACTGACGTCACTGGAGTTGGGAGTGGTGCTGGTCCCGGAGGTGCTCGTACTGGAGGTACTGGAGCTGCTGGGGCTGGAGGTGCTGGAGCCTGAGGGTGCTGCTGCTGGAGAAACTGAAGCTGGAGACCCTGGGACTGGAGGTGCTGGTTCTGGGGGTGCTGCTGGTCGTGGAGCTGGTCCTGGAGGAGCTGGAGCTGAGGGTTCTGGAGCTGCTGGAGGTGCTGGAGCTGCTAGGGGTGCTGGAGCTGCTGTTGCTGGTAGCACTGCACAGCCGCGCCTGTTCTTTGCTCCACCGTCTCCGTCGTCTCAGCCACCGTCTGACTCTGTGCTTCGCCAGGTTCTTAGTTTCCCTCGTCTACTGGTCTTCCGTTACAGCTTAGCTCACCGCTGCCTGCTCCTTCTCCTTACACTGAGCAGACAGGGGGTCTTACTGAGCGCCGTGAGCCTGCGCCATGTCCTGTCTCGTCTGTCCGTTCTGGTCGTTCCGGTCATTGTGTTCCTCGTTCGCGTCTGCCGGCTGTCTCCGACACCCACCTCATCGTCCGTTGTCCTTCCTCTCCTCCGCAGCATGTTTCCCTACCGTCCCCTCTTGCGTCTTCTCTGCCTACCGTTCCTGAGCCTGAGTTTGACCGCAGCCGTGCTGCTCACCCTACTGTCACGCGTCTGCTAGCCATAGTTGTCACTGACCCGTCGTTTGAGTCTGCTGCTGCGTCTGCCTTAGTTGCTGAGGTTGTTGACTTTGTTGCTGCCTGTTGTCTAGACTACGCCGCTAGTCTTGTTTCTGAGTCTGAGTTTGTCTGTCCTCCGTCCGTCGGGGGTGAGTGTGCCCTTAGCACGGACGTCCTTGAGGACAGGCAGGAGGACCTTGAGTGTCTTGCATCCGTTGCGCCTCATCTCGTGTCCATGCTGCTTGCCCCTGAGGGAGACCTGAATGCTCCAGACATCTCGACCCCGCGCTCTTACGCTGAGGCAATCGCGCGTAAGTACTACTCTCAGTGGCAAACAACCATGGACGTAGAGATGGCATCCTGGAAGTCCACAGGCACATACGTCGAGGAGGTTCCCCCTCCTGGGGCGAACATCGTCAGTGGCATGTGGATTTTGAGGGTGAAGCGGCCGCCAGGTTCTCCGCATGTCTTCAAGGCTTGTTACGTTGCTCGCGGCTTCAGTCAGAGGGAGGGAGTCGACTTCTTCCAGACCTTCTCCCCCACCCCAAAGATGACCACTCTTCGGGTGCTGCTGCACGTTGCCGCTCAGCGTGACTACGAGCTTCACTCTCTTGACTTCAGCACAACCTTCTTACAGGGCACCTTGCACGAGGAGATCTGGCTGCGCCGCCCACCAAGCTTCACTGGGTCTTTCCCTCCTGGTACCCAGTGGAGTCTCCGACGGCCGGTTTACGGTCTCCGTCAGGCGCCACGTGAGCGGCACGACACACTGAGGACGGCACTTGCGGCTCTTGGGTTTACTCCGTCGACTGCTGACCCGTCGTTGTTTCTAGCGCTAATGCTAACTACCGCCAACGACGAAGATGAAGCAGCAAAAGAAGCATCAGCAGCACCTGCCCTTGTACCTGATCAGGATCCCGAAGAAGCTCGCGCACGCTACATGTGCGCTTCCGGCTTTCGCGTTGACGATGCGCTTTGGCATCAGCGTCTCGGACATCCTTCTCGCACGACATTGAAGAACTGCATCGACGTAGGAGTCTTCGCTCCTGGGGCACTGTTACGCCCAGACGGCACCAAAGTGAGAGGCACGTAACATCCGCGCAACTGCACTGTCTGCCTCGAAGCTGCGCTAAGCTGCCGTTCCCGCTGCTCGAACCCGGGACGAACTGCTACCCCAAGCTGTACAAGGTGTACAGCGATTTCCTGAACGTGGGGCACTGCGTAGTCGACGACGAAATGTACACGCTTATTTTCATCGACGCCGGGACGCGCTATGTGTGGATCGTGTGTCAGAACATTATAGCTTACTTATTTGTGTAGGCTATAGTGGGTATCCCATAGGGGGTACAATCCCATTAGGGTTTCCTATTTGTACTCACTTCATTCATAGTCATTCCATTCTCGTTCTATTCTTCTCATGGTATCGAGCAGGTTCCCCTGTGGGAACTGTGCTTAGGGCCCACCACTACTTCGACCTTTTTTTCTGCCCGTAGCGCGCTCCGGGCTCTCTCTTTCACGCCCGCGCGCCGCCCGTTCCGGCCCTTAGCCGCCCGTGCGCCGCCCTTTGCAGCCCGCGCGCCGCCCTTAGCAGCCCGCGCGCCGCCCTTCGCAGCCCGCACGCCGCCCTAGAGCCAGCGCGCCGCCCTACGCAGCCCGCGCGCCGCCCTACGCAGCCCGCGCGCCGCCCCAGAACCCGCGCGCCGCCCTGCACAGCCCGCGCGCCGCTCGCCAGGCCCCAGGCCGCCCGCGCGCCATCTGCGCGCCGCCCTTAGCCGCCCGCGTGCTGCCCGCCAGGCCCAAGGCCGTCCACGTGCCGCCCGTGCGCCGCCCTCAGCCGCCCGACGCGCCGCCCGTGAACCGCCCGTGACCCACCCGTGAGCCGCTCGTGAGCCGCCCGTGCGCCGCCCTCAACCGCCCGTGAGCCGCCCGTGCGTCGCCCTCAGCCGCCCGTGAGCCGCCCTCAGCCGCTCGTGAGCCGCCCGTGCGCCGCCCGTCAGCCGCCTTCAGCCGCCTGTGAGCCGCCAGTGACCGCTCGTGCGCCGCCCGTGAGCCGCCCGTGAGCCGCCCGTGCGCCACCCGTGAGCCGCCCTTCAGCCGCCCGTGAGCCGCCCGCGAGCCGCCCGTGAGCCGCCCGTCACGACGCCCGAGCCGCCCGAGCCGCCCGAGCCGCCCGAGGAGCTGAGCCGCTCGTGCCGAGGTGCTGCTGTTGCTGCTGGGCCGGCCGAGCAGCCGTGTTTGCTGTGCTACTGTGCTCCCCGACCCATCCTGTCTGGTGAGATCGCCGGTTGCAGTCATGGCTACCCCTAGTGTCCTAGCTTTTGACACTGAGGGTCGTGCCATTGACTTTGAGGTCTGGCTCGACGACCTGCAGCTGTTCTTACAGTGCGATAGGGCAGACGGTCTTTCTCTCTTTGACCTCACCTCTGGCGGCGTCCCTGCCCTTGCTGCTGATGCTGACGCCACTGTTCGCTCACAGTGGGCCACGTGCGATGCTGCTGCACGTCTTGCTGTGCGTCGCCACCTGCCTACCGCTGAGCGCGCGCACTTTAGCCAATACAAGAGTGCCCAGACCTTGTACGACGCTGTAGTTGCGCGCTACTCCTCCCCTGCCACTGCTGCACTGAGCCGCCTCATGCTCCCCTTCCTCTTCCCTGACCTTGCCGCCTTTCCTACTGTCGCTGACCTCATTACGCACCTCCGCACTAGCGACAGTCGCTACCGCGCTGCGCTTCCTGCTGACTTCTGCGCCAAGAACCCCCCCCCCCATGTACATCACACTCTACTTTTTAGTCACTCGCCTCCCTGACTCCCTTCGTGTAGTCCGGGACCACTTCCTCGCGGTCTGTCCCACCACCCTCACAGTCGACAGCCTCGAGAAGGCCCTCCTAGCGGCGGAGAAGAGCATAGTCGCTGTAGGAGCCTCTCGAGGTGACCCCCGCGCCCCCATCTTTGAGGGGTGTTCTCCTTCCCCTCTCCTGCCCTCTGTTGCCTCTGCCGCTGCGGCCGACCTCGTTGGTCTTGAGTCGGTCGGTACGGCGTATAGCGGGAGACGCCGCTTTGGCAAGGGCAAGGGGGGCAAGGGAGCGGGTGGGGCCAGCGGGGGCGGTGGAGATGGCGGTGGAGGCGGCGGAGGGAGTGGGGGTGGCGGTGGAGGTGGTGGCGGGGGTGGGGGTGCTAGTGGCGGCAGTGGGGGCGGGGGTGGCGGCGGCGGTGGCGGTGGGAGCGGAGGTGGCGGAGGCGGCGGCGGTGGAGGCGGAGGCGGGGGTGGCGGTGGCGGTGGCGGTGGTGGAGGTGGTCGGAGTGGCGCTTCACAGCGGAGCAGCACTGGGGGTGGTCAGCGCCAGCAGCAGCAGCAGCAGCAGCAGCGTTCTCGCGACCTCCCGACGCCTCAGCAGCTCCGTGAGTGGTACACCAAGCGTCAGCGTGGTGGGGGTTTTGGTCCCTGCACCTACGTCCTTCGCACTGGCGACCGTGCTGGAGAGCAGTGTGGGGGTACCCACATCGCCCAGCGCTGCTTTGGCCGCCTGACGGACGCTTGGCGTCAGCAGTTCCCGGAGGCCGCGGAGATCCCCCGTTGGGGAGAGCTTTCTAGGGCTGGTGTAGCTATCTTTGATCTTGACTTTGATGCTATCCTTGCTGCCATGTATGCAGTGACCATTAGTGATGAGGGTGACTGTTACCGGTGTTTCCCGCCCGACCCGGGCATTAGTACTGCTGCTCTAGGTGTCAGTGAGGCTTCTGCTCTAGGTGCCAGTGCGTCTGTGCTCTCAGGTACTGGTGAGGCTGCTCTCTCAGGTACCACTGAGTCTGTGCCCTCAGGGACTGCGTCGGCCTCGGCCTCCCACACCTTCACTCTTGACTCTGGAGCGTCTCGCTCCTTCTTTCGGGACCGCACCACACTCACGCCGCTTAGTCGGACGGCTGCGGTGTCCCTGGCTGACCCCTCTTGGGGTCCTGTCCTGTCTCGCTTCTCCACCGTCCTCCCGTGTCCGGCGGCTCCCTCTGGCACCCTGTCTGGTCTCTACCTCCCCTCATTCTCTACAAACTTGGTGAGTGGTGCTGACCTTCAGGATGCGGGAGACCACCAGTTCACCCCTGCTCGTCAGCGGGTGACGCACTGCACACAGGCTAGCATAGGCCAACACCTGGCTACGTTTACACGTCAGCCAGGGTCGAGCCTGTACACACTGACCACTGCTTCTCCTCCAGTTCCTGATTCTGGTAGGGTCCCTTTGTCAGGTCAGGTGTTTGCTGCAGCGTCCTGGTCTGGTCCTGAGTCTGCCCCCTGTTCGTTTCGTCGCATGTCTCACGAGACTCTCCTCTGGCACCACCGCATGGGTCACCCCTCTCTGCTTCGGCTCAGAGGCATGGCCTCCCGTCTTCTTGTGTCTGGTCTCCCCCGGTCCCTCCCTCCCCTTCCTCAGGGCCCTGGCCCTGCCTTTGTCCCCTGTGTCGAGGGGCGCCAGCGTGCTGCCCCTCACTCCTCCCAGTTTCCTCCGACAGAGGCTCCGTTGCAGACGCTTCACATGGACGTGTGGGGCCCTGCCCGCGTCCGTGGACTCGTTCACGAGCGCTACTTCCTGTTGGTGGTTGACAACTACTCGCGTTACACCACAGTCTTCCCCTTGCGCAGCAAGGGTGATGTCACTGAGGTGCTGATCGACTGGATCCGCGCAGCTCGTCTCCAGCTCAGGCAGAGCTTTGGCTCGGACTTTCCTCTGCTGCGTCTGCACTCGGACAGAGGCGGAGAGTTCTCCTCTGGCCTTCTGCGTGCCTACTGTCGTGCGCGAGGCATCCGTCAGACCTTCACGCTTCCGGACTCACCGTAGCAAAATGGGATTGCAGAGCGCCGCATTGGCATGGTCATGGACGCTGCTCGTACGTCTATGATGCATGCGGCTGCCCCCCATTTTCTGTGGCCGTTTGCAGTCAGGTACGCTGCGCATCAGATCAACCTCCACCCCAGGGTCTCCAGGCCGGAGACCTCCCCAGCTCTGCTGTGGACCGGGAAGGTTGGCGATGCGTCGGCGTTCCGGGTCTGGGGATCTCGGGCGTTTGTCCGCGACTTGTCTGCGGACAAGCTGTCCCCTCGCGCTGCTCCCTGCATCTTCCTAGGGTTCCCCCCCGACGCCCCTGGGTGGCAGTTCTACCACCCCACCTCTCGCCGTGTTTTGTCCTCCCAGGACGTCACGTTCGACGAGTCGGTACCCTACTACCGCCTCTTCCCCTACCGCACTCCGTCCCTCCCCCCACCCCCGCTCTTCTTGGTACCTGGTCCCCCCCCGGTAGACCCCCTCCCCCCTCAGGGTCCTGCCCCTTCAGGTGTGTCCCAGGTAGACGCGGTCGAGCCTGTCGAGGTCACTGGTGACTCTGGTGCTGCTGTGGGTGCTGAGCCTAGGGGTGCTATGACTAGGGGTGCTGTGCCTGGGGGTGCTGAGCCTAGGAGTGCGGAGCTTGGGGGTGAGGAGTCTGAGGGTGCTGAGCCTGGGGAGGGTGAGCCTGGGGGTGCTGGGCCTGGGGGTGCTGAGCCTGGGGGTGCTGAGCGTGGGGGTGCTGAGCCTGGGGGTGCTGAGACTGGAGGTGCTGCGCCTGGGGGTGCTGAGCCTGGGAGTGCTGAGACTGGAGGTTCTTCGCCTGGAGGTTGTCCGGGTGCTTCGTCTCGCCGAGAGCCACTCTCCCCACAGGAGCTGCGTGAGTGGTTTGCCCGGCGCTGGAGGCGTGCTGCTGGTGCTGGAGGTTCTTCGGCTGCTGAGGGTGCTGCTGCCGCGTGTCCCGGAGGTGCTCGTACTGGGAGTACTGGAGCTGCTGGGCCCGCGGGTTCTCCTGGAGCTGGTGCTGCTGCGCGTGTTGGAGCTGAGACTACCGCTGGCGGTCCGCCTGGCAGTGCTCCTGGTACTGCTGGAGGTTCTGGGGCTACTGGAGGTGCTGCTGGGGGTTCTGGAGCTACTGGAGGTGCTGCTGGAGCAGGTACTCCTGCTGGGGGTAATGGTGCTATCCCTGCTGTTTCTGGCGTCGCCACGCGACCCCGACCGTAGTTCGTTCCACTCCTGCATCGGGTTCTTGGTCTTACACCTTCTCCTGGTCCTCCTCCTCCTCCCTTAGAGGGTCCACAGCCTGTCCAGTCACAGTCACAGCTATAGCCTGCCTCCCCTTTGCCTGCTCCTTCTCCCTACACTGGTCCGACTGGAGGTCTTTCTGAGCGTCGTGAGCCTGCGTCACGTCCTGCGTCGCCAAAGTCTCGTCCTGCGCGCACTAGTGGTCGCGGTTCGCGTCAGCGTCCTCCTCCTGTCCCTGGCACGCACCGGATGTCTCTGCGTCCGTCCACTGCTCCTCTGCGTGCCCCTTTGCCTTCTCCTGCTTCCTCTCTTCCTGCTCTTGCCGACCCGGAGTCGGACTCTCTTCGTGCTGCCAGTCCTACTGTCACGCGTCTCCTTGCTACTGCCGTCATTGACCCTTCTTTCGAGTCTTCTGCTGCGTCTGCCCTTGTTACTAAGCTCGTCGACTTTGCTGCGCGCTGTCGTCAAGACTACGCTGGTAGTCTTGTCGCTGAGTCTGAGTCTGCCTGTCCTCCGTCCGTCGGGGGTGAGTGTGCCCTTGGCACGGACGTCCTTGAGGACAGGCAGGAGGAGTTCTAGTGTCTGGCCACCGCTTCACCTCATCTCGCGTCTGTACTGCTTGCCCCTGAGGGAGACCCGGATGCACTAGACATCCCGACTCCGCGCTCTTACGCGGAGGCGATAGAGGGTCCCTACTCCTCTCAGTGGCAGGCAGCTATGGATGCAGAGATGGCGTCCTGGAAGTCCACATGCACCTACGTTGACGCTGTCCCCCCTCCTGGGGCGAACATCGTCAGTGGCATGTGGATTTTCAGGGTGAAGCGGCCGCCGGGTTCTCCGCCTGTCTTCAAGGCGCGTTACGTGGCTTGTGGCTTCAGTCAGCGGCAGGGAGTTGACTACTTTCAGACCTTCTCCCCCACCCCGAAGATGACCACTCTTCGGGTACTGCTGCACGTTGCTGCTCACCGTGACTACGAGTTGCACTCTCTCGACTTCAGCACTGCTTTCTTGCAGGGCAGCCTGTACGAGGAGATCTGGCTACGTCGCCCACCTGGTTTCACTGGGTCTTTCCCTCCTGGTACCCAGTGGAGTCTCCGGCGGCCGGTTTACGGTCTCCGCCAGGCGCCGCGTGAGTGGCACGACACACTGAGGACTACGCTGGCGGCACTCGGGTTTGCTCCTTCCACCGCAGACCCGTCGCTGTTTCTGCGCACCGACACCTCTCTGCCGCCGCTCTACATCCTCGTGTACGTCGACTACTTGGTCTTTGCCACAGCTGACACTGCTGGACTCGCCTACGTGAAGTCCGAGCTGAACAAGAGACACACGTGCACAGACCTGGGTGAACTGCGCAGCTACCTTGGCTTGCAGATCACCCGGGACAGAGCACGCCGCACCCTGAATCAGTCACACATGGTGCAGCAGGTCCTTCAGCGCTTCGGCTTCACGTACTCCTCGCCTCAGGCCACTCCTCTGCCTACTCGCCACTCGCTCTCAGCTCTGCCTTTGGATGAGTCCGTAGAGTCGAGTGGCCCGTATGCAGAGCTTGTTGGCTGCCTCATGTACCTGATGACCTGCACACGACCTGACCTTGCATACCCTCTTAGCATTCTCGCACGCTATGTTGCTCCTGGGAGACACCGACCAGAGCACATGGCTGCAGCGAAGAGGGTGTTGCGCTACTTGTGCAGTACGTCGGGCATGGGGCTAGTGCTTGGAGGGCGCAGTCAAGTGGTCCTCATTGGGCACGCGGACGCTTCTTGGGCTCACGACCAGGCTACGCAGTGGTCGTCATAGGGTTACACCTTCAGCCTTGGTTCCGGCTCTGTTTCGTGGCGGGCTACCCGCTCGTCTTCTGTTCTTGGCTCCAGTTGTGAGGCTGAGATCTACGCCGGGGCTATGGCTGCCCAGGAGCTTCGCTGGCTCACCTACCTGCTGACCGACCTTGGAGAGCCGCCTCGTTCTCCTCCAGTCCTGTACGTAGACAACAAGGCCATGCTGGCCTTGTGTGGAGAGCAGCGACTGGAGCACAGGACAAAGCACATTGCTCTCCGCTACTTTCTTGCTCGTGAGCTGCAGCAGCGTGGACAGTTGCGACTTGCGTACGTGGCCTCTGAGGCCAACACTGCTGATGTGTTCACCAAGGCACTTGCGCCTTGTGATCATCAGCGCTGCTGCACGCAGCTGGGTCTTGTGCCTCTCTTGCCTCACTTGCTCACTTCTTGACCTTGCTTGTACCTTTACCTATATATACTCTTACTCTTGCTTGTTTGACTCTTGTATATCTCTATATGTGATCTTGCATGTGAACTGGCCTTCTGGCCTTTGAACTTGTGGTCGGAATGTGTGGTGACTTTGTGATCCACCCTGAGCTTTGCTTTGCTTTGCTTGACTGGTCTTGTGACCCCTTGTTCTCCCCCACTTTGCCTATGGGGGTGTGTCAGAACATTATAGCTTACTTATTTGTGTAGGCTATACTGGGGTATCCCATAGGGGGTACAATCCCATTAGGGTTTCCTATTTGTACTCACTTCATTCATAGTCATTTCATTCTCGTTCTATTCTTCTCATCGTGAACGTCGAAACACGCGACAGAGCCTATGAGGTTTTCCGCCTCTTGCTTGCGCACGCGCAGCGGCAATCCAAGGAGAAGCTGAAAATCTTGCA